TTACCATGAGTACCCACGTATGGCTGCAGCTGCCAGAGATTATTTGGCTATACCAGCATCTGGGGTATCAGTCGAAAGACTGTTCAGTGGGGGAAGAGATCTCTTAGGAGTGCGGAGGAGCTCAATGAGTGCAGAGACTATGAGGCGTCTTATGATGCTGCGAGATACATGGAAATAGCTTCAGAGATTTACGAATAATTACGAATAATTACGAATAATGCGAATATTATTCGTACGAATATTAGTAAGCGGAAATTCTAAATTTTATTCGTATTCGACTACGAATATTCGTACGAATATTCGTAATCGAATATTCGTGTCCAGCCCTAAACCAGTCTATAAATAATTAAATCCGACATGCATGATGAATCAGACCTGCTGAATCCACGACATCCATGATTCTGGAGTGATATTTGACTGGATTGCTGGTGGGATTGCTGCCCCGTTGTCGGGCAAGGATCTGGTGATCACGTGGTTGGTCCTTTGGACCTTAATCAGTCTGTCCTTACCATAGAAGAATCCTAACTTTATCGACTTTCCCTTAGTTACAATACAACAACCTTCCATAGTTTCGTGAATTCTTTGTATCACCATGTCAGGGGATCCAATGTCAGGTGATATATCCGATCCCCACTGTAGCCACATGCAATGCCCACATCTCATGTAAGTAGAGACTTTACCAGTCTGACGCCACACCATACGCCACATCTCGATGTCTGTGCAGCGCCACGTCCAGTCGGATTCGTGCAGGCGCCACCTTGTGAATTTTGTTCCAGGTCGGCGCCTTCCCGAACATGCAAGTGGCTATCACACTTGACATTTCCAACTTCAAGTGGATTCCAATTTCCATCCTATCACCAACTCCTCGTCTCCCACTCGACCGAACACCTTGAACACTTCATATCCTCCAACCTTCACTTTCTCAATCCCTCCATCAACCAGCAGCTAGCAGGTGTTGTGGTCATTCTGCTGTTCAGTCGCAACGGAATTACCGCCACTCGAACCCCATCTTCTCCTCCCGTCGTCTCCAAGATTGCCGGATCCTTCACTCGATTCATACCATATCATCATCGTTCGTTTGCCTCTGAATAGCCTTGGGATTGATCCACTGGCTCCGACATTCTCACCGACATCCACATCCGCCTTCGATCACTACTATGACTGAACTTGCCCCAGCCCCGACTCTGGGAGAGCCTCAGTCTCCCGTTCCTTTGGACACAATCCCGATCTCTCCGGCAGATGGCACTGGCGCATCAGACAAGGAGGAACAGGCATCGTCCGACCAGCCCGTCACCGTGTTCCATGATCCCAACAACTTCAACGTTAAGCATCCGTTGATGAACACCTGGACTCTATGGTTCACCAAGCCACCGAGCGGAAAGGTATGGCGTTCCGTTCTCTATTCACGGATTTTAAGGGGGTAAGAACTGACAGCAGCTAGGGCGATAACTGGAACGAGCTTCTCAAAGAGGTCATCACTTTCGGTTCGGTGGAAGAGTTTTGGGGAATCCACGTATGCGCTTTCCTAGCTTTCCCTTTCCTATCTTCTCGTGCTAATCGAACCGATGGATACAGAACAATATCACCGCGGTCTCCGAGCTCTCTCTCAAGTCCGATTACCATATGTTCAAAAAGGGCATTCGACCGGAATGGGAGGACCCCCAAAACAGGCATGGCGGCAAATGGGCGTTTCAATTCAAGGACAAGAAGGCCATCGACATCGACGCGTTGTGGCTGCATATGATGCTTGCTGCCATCGGCGAAACCCTTGAGGATGAAGGTGATAACGAGGTCATGGGCGTCGTTGTTAATGTCCGCAAAGTTTTCTACCGGATCGGTCTCTGGACTCGCACCGTCGGGAAGGCGACCACTAGCGGGGGAGAGAATGGATCGGGCGGGAAGACTCGAACCGCCGACCAGGGTAAGGATGTGCTGCTGAAAATCGGGCGACGGTTCAAGGGAGCATTGGACTTGAAGGATACCGACCAGGTCGAGTTCTCAGGCCACATGGACAGCGCTCATTCTGGCAGCACGCGAGCGAAGGCGAAGTTGGTGGTGTGATTGGGTCGCATCCCAGCGCACCATGTACCGAGAACGGCCTTGATTCTCACTTGTCGGACCGGCTCCTTTCGCATGCAGTTGTTTTGAACCGACATGCATGGTGGGGCGGTCTTTGGGTCGTATGGCCCTAGGGGAAAGGAAAAAACCTGGAGGTGAAAAAGTGGCCCTCCGAGGTTTTTATTGCAGTCATGAATCGTTCTTTCGCATGACCAAGGAATGGGAAGAGCCCGGCGTCAGGACACTATCATTCGACGGACAATGATGATAGAGGGTTGTTTTATCGAACCGATGGACATTGAAGGCAGGGATGGGATATGTGTCCAATATCTTAGCAAGGAGCATCAACATCATGGATAGATAGGTCTAATCCGGAGATATCTCTACCAGCATGGATTTCCCCTTGATGATTGATCCTGTGATACCCGGCGGCTCGGATCACGCGCCACACTTCTCAGTTCTCACATGCACGTTCAACGTAACAAGTAATAAATTAACAAGTAAGTTACGGATACTCCGTAACAAGTAATTACAAGTTGAATCAACCCGTGCACGTGCCCTCTCCTGCCAGGTGTGCCGTGTGCGGTGTGGCGTCTTATTACTACCACGACAGCCTAGCGCTTGCAATGCCCTATTTTGAAAGTTACGTACGCTCATCGGCTCCCGGTCCTGTCAAGTTAAGTTGGCATCTGACGTCCGAACGCGCAGCTCCATCGGGCCTCTCTTAATACTTTACCTCCATTTCATGTTTTCATGATATCAATTTTCACCCTGCCAACCCTCCAATATTCCCACACCCTCAATAACCTATCCTGTACGAGAGAGTTTGATCCTCTACCTACTCTATCCTACCATATCGCCAGCCATCGATTCCTAGATCATGGTGGTCGATACGGCCTATTATGACGCCTTGGGCGTTTCCCCCACCGCCACCGAGCTGGAAATCAAGAAAGCGTACCGAAAACGCGCCATACAGCTACATCCAGGTCGGTCAACTATGCACCATGGATTCTCCTCGAAGATTGCTAACATCGCCGCCTGTTAGACAAGAATCCCGATGACGAAACTGCCCATGAAAAGTTTCAAACTGTAGGCCGAATTCGCCGCCGTGCCTCTCTCCGTGCTTACCATGCATGTTCTAGATCGGTGAAGCCTACCAAGTTCTGAGCGACAAGGCTCTGCGAAGTCAATACGACAAGCATGGGAAAGAGGGCGCCATTCCGAGCGCGGGATTCGGTATGCCACCCAACATCCTAGTGATGGGTTTCAACTAAATATGAGATGCAGAGGATCCGGCCGAGTTCCTTACGATGATTTTTGGAGGCGATGCGTTTATGGATTGGTAAATGATGCTGGATACTCGTGACGGAAACCGGGCTAACTGGCTAGGATCGGCGAAATCTCCCTCATGAAAGACCTCCTGAAGACGATGGAGATATCTACAAAGGAGATGGAGGAAAATGAGGCCCGTGCCGCAGCAGAAGCAGAAGCAGAAGCGGCAGCTAGCGCAGGGAATGGTAAAGAGACGCCCGAGGCATCATCTTCCGCACCCCCACCGTACGTCGAAGTCGAATCCGCCGGAGATTCATATCCGCCCGAGAAACCGAAACCCGCCATGAAGGAGACAGCCACACCATCCCCAACACGCTCTGGCACGAGTACTCCCCGTCCCGCCGGTATACCCACGCGATTAGCCATCATGGGGAAGTCGGAGGAAGATGCCCGGCTGGATGCAGCCGGAGTCTCTGAAGCCGAGAAGGAGCTCCAGGCGAAAGAGAAGAAGAAGGGCGGATTGACGAGAGAGCAACGAGAGGAGTTGGCTGCATACGAGATGGAACGAAGAAAGATCCGAGAAGAGCGTGTCGACACTCTGGGAAAGAAGTTAACCGATAAAATCAGCCTGTGGACGGAAACAGATAAAGGGCCGGATGTTACTGCCGCTTTCAAGGAGAAGATCCACCTGGAGATTGAGAACCTAAAAATGGAGAGTTTCGGTTTGGAAATCTTGCACGCCATCGGCGCGACGTACCTCCAGAAATCAACCTCATTCCTAAAGAGTCAAAAGTTCCTGGGCATCTCCGGCTTCTTCTCTAGGCTCAAAGACAAGGGTACTCTAGCCAAAGAGACGTGGACCACCATCTCCACGGCCATCGATGCGCAGCATACCATGCAGGAAATGGTCCACCTGGAGGAGCGGGGCGGGGAGGACTGGACCGAGGAGAAAAAGGCCGAGTATGAGAGGAGGGTTACGGGGAAGGTTCTGGCCGCCGCATGGAGAGGAAGCAAATTGGAAGTCCAGAGTGTCTTACGGGAGGTGTGTGACCGAGTCTTGAACGACCCTTCTGTCCGACTAGAGAAGCGGATAGAAAGGGCGCACGCATTATCCATGGCCGGAGAGATGTTCGCAAAGGTACGTGTTCTTTCCTCTATCATCGATCCTGCCATCTGTCAACCGAGCCTAGGCTGACCCGAGGTTTTCAGGCTGCCCGAGACCCCGAAGAAGAAGGCGACTTCATGGCGTTCGAAATGCTCATGGCTGAGGCCGCGGCGAAAAAGGAGAAGACCAAGTCCGACAAGAAAAATAAGAAGAGTAAAAAGGACGAGTCGATGGCATCATCATCCACCCAACCTCCGGACTTTAAATAAAGCTAGCCACGGCAGCTATCATGCCCGAACCCGAAGCCGATGGTGTAATGGGCTTCAACGATCTGATCTTCTCGATCTGGCCTTAGGCGGACTTTTCACTCCGGCTACGTTGTGTAGCATTAGAATTGAGGAGCCGAGTGCACCTTGGGAGTTATCTACGACTAGATCCACTGACATGCGTTACATAGACACACTGGAACCACACCTGTTTGAACTCGCATGTTAAACTCATCTGTGATTAGTACTCAAAGTCATCCTGCTTACGGCATGTGCTCTGATCTGGTATGGCAAAGCAATTCCACCACTTTGGACAACATGACCAGGAGGAGTCGTCATTGTCGATTCAACGACTGTCTTTAGCTCGGGTCGTGATTAGGAGTGGCCACTATTTTCCCGTTTCCCAGGCCCATACTCCGGTTTGGATTATATTCAGTGAATATGAATTCAATTTCTAATAATTTCCGGATTTTTGGTTCTCCTCCGCATCTGAGACAAGCAGATCATGGCTTCCGATCTCACTGGCTGATCCGAAATCGCACAAGTCTTTTAAGGTTTATATTATTCCGGATACCCTCCCGCGACCAGCATGATTTGGACGACAGTAACAAGACGACAGAGAAGATGTAACAAAAGTAGGCTTCCTCGCTCTTCTCCGTGCCATGTTTGACTGCTGTTGCTTTCCTCTCAAGTTCGTACTAGCAAAATATGCCTTATGGTTGCATGGCATATTTACGGTCGACAGGTTCCGAACGGACGGCACGAAACGATCGGCGAGAAACATCTGACCGGAGCCTTTGTCGAGTGAGTTCATACATCATGGACGGATTTGAGCCAGCCGAGATTTGCACCTATCCAATTTTTAATGATCTCTTCGTCTACAATATGCCCCCGGACCTTCCCCGTCCCATCGCTCCCCTCCCTTTGCATAGCGGATGCCCGTGTTTGACCTAAGCAATGGCGGTGTTTGGGGACTTGATATTCAGCACTGATAGCAGATATCTTCACTCCATAGCAAGTCGAAATCAACTTCCATGTCACCGAATAACAATAAGATATTGAGTATGAGTCACTGGTGACTTGAAGTATGGTTTGTGATGGAAATAACTTTCGAGGCCATGCTACTTAACAAGACTTGACGACGTCCTCACATCGTACACATAGATCTTCCTGGGAATTTGCGACATGTCTCCAGCACCGCGGGCATTTTGCGCGGGGAGAAGGGTGTACTGAGACACGGCCTTGACAGCCAGCAAATTCGAACTTCTCCTCGAACTCCCAGGCCGTGATATTCTCCATTGGACGGTCTCCCTTGATAACTTGTACTTCGGACACTACCAGTACTGCTGCCAATTCGTCGGCAAAGCCATCCCCAAAACGCGTTTCACCACCTCCGGCGTTCTCAATATCGCTCAGGCTCTGCCAGATATCCGCAGCAGATTCCGAGAGATGGACGACCACACTTGTCTCTAAGCCGGAACCTATCAAGCCCTTCGATCTTGCCGCTTCTTGCGCAGTTTTTACGGCGGAACTTAGCGTCTTTAGAAGTGCAAACTGTTCGTCCAAGGACTGCGTTGCCACTAGACCCTCAACACTCTCCTTGCCAAGGCTCAGCATTAAACTGCTCGGTTCCCAAAGCCTTTGAAGTGGATGTTGAAGCTGCGGCTGCAAGTGAACGGGAGCATGCGCATATGTCTCTTCCACCAACAATGGGGTAATGGGACTGAGAATCTTCAACAACGCCTGGAAGATCTGGAAACACACGAATTGTGCAGCCATTCGGTCTTCCCCCCCTCCGGTGTAGAGTCTATCTTTTAATGCTTCGAAGTAGAAAGCGGACAGGTCTGTGTTAATGTAGTGGTTGAGTCTTTGTATGCCTCTGTGGAACTCGTACGATCGATAGTGAGCAACGATGTCTTGATATGTTCCCTCCAGCTGCACCATTGCCATTTGATCCATCCAGCGGAACTGGGCTACGTCTCGACCCTTCCACTCAGACGGTTGGTAATGGTTTAGCACCCCTAAAAGCCATTTCAGAGTGACTCGGGCTTTGTGGAGATTGCCCGACACGAGCTTCAGAAGGGTTTCCCCAAGAACTATATCCTTGGTATAATCGCTTCCGGCAACCCAAAGACGAAGAACATCAGGCCCAAGCGCGTCATATACTTGACCTTTTGCCCCATGGCTACCTTTGCCTTTCTTTTTCAAAGGAGGCAACAAAGAGCCATCCATGATCTGACTCGGAGCGACGACGTTTCCGATTGATTTGCTCATCTTGATGCCATGCTCATCCAAAGTGAAACCATGCGTGATCAAGGTTTTGAATGGTGCAACCACTGGTGCTGTCTGGGATGGAGATGAACTAGCATCATTCCGTAAAAGCTGCTCGGAAACGAAAGTGAGGAGGGACGATTGAAACCAGCCCCGATGCTGATCGGACCCTTCAAGGTAGACATCCGCCACTGGTGTGCTTGTGTCCTTCGCAAGTGTCATCCAGCTAGTACCGCTGTCAAACCACACATCCATCGTGTCCTTTCCTCGCTCGTAGGAACCAGACAAATTCGGAGGAATCCATGCTTGATCATCTTCTGCGTCAGTCCACCAACAGTCAACGCCACGCTGTCGCATGGTATCCAGGATGTGTTCTATCGTCCCTTCAGTCATTATCGGCTGACGATCCCCCTTATCGGTTCTGTAGAGGGCGGGAATCGGCACGCCCCATGATCTCTGCCGTGAGATACACCAATGGCTTCGCCCATTGACGAAACTCTCTAGGCGTGCTCTGCTTGACTCTGGTAGGAACTTTACGTTGGTTAAAGCTTGGATCGCGTGGGGCTTGATTTCCGCAACGTCGGCGAACCATTGCTCGGTGGCACGAATGATGAGCGGCTGCTTGGTTCGCCAATCGATAGGATACTTGTGAGTAATTTCGTGGGTCGCGAGAACACTGAGACTGCGAGAGGGATCTCCATTCTGTTCGGCTCGGAGGTAATCCAGGATCGCCACGGTCCCCTCTGTCTGTACAGGCTTTCCCGCAAGTGTCTCTGGGGAAGCCGGTAATGCCTCGGAAGTGAACCGCGCATAATCATCAACAGGGGCGAACGGCTCCAATCCCAAGTCGGCACACATGTTGTAGTCGTCCACGCCATGTCCGGGGGCCATATGGACCAGCCCTGACCCCGAGCTGGATGTGACAAAGTCCGCATGGACCACTTTCTGACGCTGATTTCTTTGCAGTGGATTGAGATATTCCACCTGACCGGCAATCTCCTTTCCAGAAATGGGACCTGCAATAATAGATACGCTCTCCGAATTCAGGATCGTCTGTAGGAACTCGACTCGGGTCGTGCACACCAAGTATTGGGGCAGTCCGGAGGATAGTTCAGAGCTTATCCTGGGCTCAACAACGTAGTAATCCAGAATATTGTTGACCGCAATGGCTTTGTTCGCAGGGAGAGTCCAAGGAGTTGTTGTCCAGACAAGAGCTCTCAATCGCGCTGGATCGACGCCCGGCATTTGAGATATCGTCGTCGGCAGGGAAACAATAGGATAGCCAATGAACGCCGCAGTGGATTTAAAATTGTCGTCATACTCAAGTTCTGCTTCAGCTAACGCTGTTCGCGATGATCCGGACCAGTACACTGGTTTCTTCGCCCGATAGATCAGCCTATTTCTGACCATGTTCTTGAATACTTGGAGCTGATTCAGTTCAAATTCAGCATCCAGAGTCTTGTAGGCATTGCCCCAGTCACCCATTACCGCCCACTCTTTGAACCCTCGCTTCTGCTCCTCGATTGTGTCCAGTGCAAATCGTCGGGCGGCATTGCGTATTTGGGGGGGATCCAGCCCAGATTTCTGCGCTTGTATAGCTTTGAGCTCAATCGGTAGGCCGTGACAATCCCATCCGGGGACATATTGGACTCGCTTGCCTTCACCGACTTGAAACCGACAGATGATATCCTTCAAAATCTTGTTCACGGCATGGCCAGCGTGAAGTCCACCGTTCGCATAAGGCGGCCCGTCGTGAAGAGTGAAGGAGGGCCTATCTACCTGAGCACCTTGCCAACTGTAGAACTCATCGGTGCAACGAGCTAGGTAGGGCGAAGGTAACGGCGGCCTCGCGGGAAGGGTGGATTTCGGAAGCTTGAGAGTTGCCGTCCATTGTGCTCGAAACGGCGAAGAGATTCTCATAATCCCTCTTGATTCATGACTATAACGAGCGAGCACGACTGTACGCGGACAAAGGCGCGTCAATAATTACGGCTGAGCAATAACGAACGTAAACTTCCTCAGCATAGGGTTTGGTCTGACGATATTGCTTCGAGATCAGGGCGATGGGAAATTTCAACGCGCTGTCACGTGAGTTGACTTCTCAGACGACGAGACCAGGCAATCTACCAAAAGGGGTGTCTTCTGCCAGGTTTGCTAAGGTAACTAGTTTGAATATCTCTAACTAATTATTCTGAATGATAGAGCATAAATGTAATTGTATTGTCCTACGGCCATTCTCCAAACGCCAGTCTACTAAACCTCAAATTTAGCTCAAAATACTGTCAGAGCACTAATAGACCCGTTCTTTAAGACTTCAAAGACCATTCCTGGAAAGCCAAACAACTCCGTATTCCCAAGACTCTGCTCCCCACGTAAAGCATCTTCCTCGGGTTGTCGCCATCTTGCGGTTGATGTGGAATCGGCACTCTCCTCCCACCCTCCAAGCAATTCGCAGCTACTACTCGGACTACCACCCCATCCGCGATTGAGGACCATCGGCCTTTGCTGAGAACCTTCCTCATCCGTATTGCTGTATGTCTCGTGGAAAACTTCCTTGAGTCGACCCGAAACATCGCCAAAAGGCATTTCGGAATTCAGTGGCTCCTTGTATTGGTTTGAAGGGACATGCTCCAGGGTCCACCTGCTCCTGCGGTGCCGGTTGAACGAGAAGGAGCCGGGGATGTTGGCATGAAAGATGATTTTTGATACCGTTAAGTGGTTCCCAGAGAAGGGACCATGACGTGAAATATTGCTAACTTCGTCCCGGGAGGGAGATGTCGGGGAAATCGGTGAGATGAACGTCGGCTTTGTCAGGAACACATCGAAGCCGTGTTGAAAGTAGTTGTAGAAGCATTCTGCAGATGCAGCCTCGTGGTCAGCGAGGTTCAAGTTACCATCGTCCTCCCTGTCGGAATCGTCGGTCTCGGTATGACTTGATGAGTGGTCGGTGTCCACCAGGTCCTCTTGATTCGGAGAGTCAAAGCCCTGAAAGGTGGTGTCCCCATGAGGTACTCCTCGATGAATCGAAAGACGATGGTCATTCTTGCGATAGATTGCATCCGGCGGGCCAAGCTCGGCTACCAAGTCCTGGGCCGTAGTCTCACTCAGAGTAATCGAAAAGGAGGGGCTCGACCGGCGCACAAGCTCAATTCGACCCTCCCCATAAATTTTGGCAAGTTCCACCTCGTCTGGAACCCCGTCTTTGGCACGGCTTGAGAGTGCAAGCGATCTTGGATTTGGAGGTATTTCGGTGTATAGAGTATCCCGAGCTTTGGGCCAGGATTCGCCATGAAAAATTGCCATCGAAGTTGATGGGGAAGTGGCTGAGCTGGAGAGAAGTGAAACAAAATCCACGGATGGCGACCACGCGGATGAGAGGAGGGGGAATGTAAAGGATAATCCAGGGTAGGATAGTATATATGTTCCTTTGTCAACATCGTTTGAGCAAGGATGAAGGTACTCGCCGGGAAAGGTCGGGCCTAGGAGGCGTTGGTAAACGTGTCGAAATGTTGGACCCGTCGCGGTTGATGTATAATCCACGTCTCCTGCAGAATCGGCAGGCTTGGTGACGTCGATCGACTTGTATGTAAGCTTAATTCTTGCGAAGTCAAGAACCTCGATCAGTCGAAGTCTCTGATCTGCCCCATCGAATCTTAGACGTAAACCATTTCGAGGAAGATCGATGACCACTGGAGTCCCCACTGGATCGGAGACAGAGTACGATAGATCAATCTTTGGGAATAGTTGTGGTTGTGCCTTGAGACGGGTTAAAATACTATGAAGGGAAACTCCGAGTGCTATGCAATCCAGTCAGTATGTGATGCATCCATTTCGGAATAATACGCACTGATAAATCCCAGAGAGCGGCCCGGGTGAACGGCAAAACCGGAGGTCATGTTGAAGAAGGTATCGTTAATCAAGTCGGCGTGATTGCCGCAGAGGTTTCTTTCGAGGATCCTATTCAACTAGCGAAGAATATAGAGATTGATAATGTGGTCGATAATGTGATGTTCTGGATGCCTTGAGAGAGACACGCGACGGTTCTAGCACCCTACTGCATGGGCATGCTTTGACTTGCAGCGACACTCTGTTCGGACATAAGAGAGTCGGCAGCGTAGTAGTAGGCTAACGGGCTTGGAGTGTTACCTATCCCCAGTGTTTCAGATAGGCAACAGAATGAGCCGAAACAAAAAAATCGCTATTGAAATTCCTCGTTGAGTAATCGGTCCTGACGCAGAGCATGACCAAGATATCAAAAAGCCGATGAGGATGGCAGATAAAGCATTTGCGACATTTGAGGAGTCACGGTGGTTACATTACACGTGTACAAGTAGATTTCTCCATCAACTGTCATGCACACTGCGATGTCTGACTCTTGTTCTGACAATGGGCTTTTGATGGGCCTCGTGATGTGACAGGGCTGGTTGTGCTCAGTGGGAGTTGAATGTTGATGTCAGTTGATAGCAAGGGGAAGTTCCCTTCTCTGGAGTCTACTCTCCAGGTTGTGACTAATCCCCTCACCCCTCCAGGCTCCAGCTCTGAAGTCTGAAGTGCTGATTCACGTGAGCAACAGCACCGCCTCAAATGCCGGTTCTGGAGCTCCCAGCCGGCCGGGACACTGTGGCTTGAAAGACTGTCACGTGTATCCCCCGCCCCACTTCGACCCATCCAATGAACGCGTGACTAGGACAGGGATTATCGACATGGATTATCGACATGGATGATTGTCGTGTCGTGGTCGCGTCGAACCTGGAGGCAGAATCTTGATCATTTCGTAATAGAGGGAAGAAAGTTGCTTCTAAGTTCTAGTAATCATCCTTCGTAAATGAGACGGATTGTTAGCTTTATGCTGCCCGATTGCTGCGGTTATATTTCTCCATCCAGTTCCCCTGAATTCGAAGACATTCCCCGTGCCTGAATCCGAAAACATGGCCCAGGACTATGTGGACTATCTTGCAGGATCGGTGCTGAATGACCGTCGACCGGTATGAGTCGAAGTTTTCCTGTGTGTGTCAACTGAAAGCTCATTGTGTAGGTGACATATCGTTCGCTGAGCCGAGCACTTAAAGTCCATGTCAACATTGCCAAGCAGTATGAGTTCAGTCCTATGTCTAGGAGTTCCTGCTGACATGCCGGTGTAGAATGCTATACGAGTTCCACAGAGCTCAGAATGGAAGACAGCCTGGATCGGTCCATGCCACATATCTAATTTCCGGACTGAGACGTATCGATGAGCCAGCGAAAACCAATGGCAGCCACCCTGATGGGGATGATGTGAAGATGGCGGACAGCTCCTTTGCGCACTCAGAGATGAGTGAAGGACCTTCTCAGCAGCCGGAGACGTTGGTAAAGGCTGTCCAGGTTATCCCGGAAGAGAAGCTCGAAGGTAAGCATGCCTCGGCGGGGAGACAATTCAAGGCAGGGGACTGAGCGAAGCTCTAGAGATTCAGGGGCTCTTCTCAACTATCAAAAGCCTGCATTTATACAGCCTGGAACCTAATCCAGTGAAGGTAAACATGTTATCCGAACTTGGTCATAACCGACTCATAAAATTAGGACCTTGATACCCTTTCGGACTGCAACAGGATAGCGAGGCAAAATGGCGAAGCTGAGGATCCTCTGACAAGCTGGAAGCAGTATGGTGTCATCCAAAACCCTCTGGCAATTGTAAGTCTATACGATTCATCCGAGACTATCGATACTGATAAATGAAGCGTCGAACGCGCCAGAATGCCCTATCATCGACCCCTTCAGCTGATAATCGGGAGAGACCTTCAGCTACTCCAAGATTGTCACAAGGCTCGGTGAAGGCGGGAGAAGGATCTAAACTCTCTTCCAACAGCACCAATTCCACCAGCACACCGAAGCCTCTGGCAACGAAATCCAAGCCAGCTCCGAAGACGGGTTCGTTAGGCTCCCTTGGGCGCGGAACTTCGAGTCTGTCTAAGGCTTTCGCGAAAGCCAAACCTAAAACTGTACCCGAACCGGTCAAAAAAACAGAAGATGGTACGTTATCAACGTGGTGGTATAGAATGAGTGACATTCTAACGGCTGTTTAGAGCCTATGATGGATGCGTCAGAAGAGGAAGACGATGAAGCCGTTCTGTTCGACGACCATGGCAAATCGAACGAAGATGCTATGAAAGAGCGAGCTGCACGCCAGGAGGCCCTACTCACGATGATGGAGGATGACGACGGTAAGAGTGGAGTGGCATTGAGCCAAAGTTGCGCTGATCCCTTCCTAGACAATGTCGAGATGCAGGACGCGAAACCGGAGGTTGACTCGCCTGCATCCGCTGCACCGATTGACTCGGCTGCCGAGTCCCAGCCAGAACAGCCAAGCACGGAAAGTCCTACGATGGAAGGAGGAAAGAAACGTAGTAGAAGACGGGTGACTAAGAAAGTGACATCCAAGGATGAGGAAGGATATCTTGGTATGTTATTGAACGGTTCAAAACTTTGATGGTGCTGATGGTTCCGGATAGTGACCAAAGAGGAGCAAGTATGGGAATCCTTCTCGGAGGACGAACCAGATCCTCCCAAGAAAACCAAGCAAGCGCCCGCTCCACCTTCAGCGAAAACAAAGAAGGGTGGCCCTAAAGCTGGACAGGGGAATATCACGTCATTCTTCAAGAAACAGTAGCTGGAGGCTACTGTGCATGCAATGGCGAACACAATTCAAGGCTTGTGAATGCAGCACCATCAATCTCATAGCGGGCATACGCATACGCTATACCTGACGATGGAGAGCTGTAGAAGATAGCCATAATAATGTATACAATCCTCGTACATTTGTCCCTTGAACTTTGAAATTGGATTATTTCATTGGGCCTTACTACGCAACCCCAATTCCCAAGAACTGACCCGGAACATTGCGTCCTGACTGTCCTGACTGTCCTGACTGTTCATACTGTTCAGGCTTCAGTTCCGTTGCAGCATTTGGTCTACTATGTACAGATGGGATCAAATCCGACATGGGTCTTCCCTGCACACTTGGATGGGTTTGATTGGTCAACAGACATTGGCTGACAACCATTGGTGGATGACCCTTGTAACATTGTCAGATCCAGGCTACAAGGCATCCAGGCACCCCTCACCGATCAACGACACCATCGAATCTTTTTTCTGATTTTCGGAGATTTTCTCGTTCCATTCCTCGTTCGCCGCTTGCTTTTCCCAATTGTGTCCTGCTATTCTGCCAAAAATCGTTCTCTCTTCTTTCATCATTGGCATTGATCTGGACAGAAACAGCACGATTGTGGGATCCATGTTGCTGCTCACGCTGTTTGCTCGCTCCAGATTACCATCACGGTAATTCCTCTCTCTACCCCACCGCTTACTTGCTGGAGGCTGCCTACCTACATCTGCACTTCTCCCTTGTCGCAATATCATCGACGCCATCACCGTATCCTCCCCGACTCGACCTACGAATCCATCTGGGAATCGAATCCTATTTCCCACTGCGAGCCCCGACCTCATCATGATTTCCGAAATTGGCCCTCCGATGGCGCTCGAGCTGCAGGATGGGTACATGTGTCAGGGGACCAGCTTCGGCGCTGAGAAGAGCATCGCCGGCGAGCTGGTTTTCCAGACCGGCATGGTCGGCTACCCTGAGGCCTTGACCGACCCCTCATATCGAGGCCAAATCCTGGTCATTACCTTTCCTCTGGTGGGCAACTACGGAGTGCCATCCCGCGAAGATCAAGACGCCCTCCTCGACTCCATACCAGCCTATTTCGAATCCTCGGAGATCCATATTGCGGGATTGGTGGTGTCTTCATATGCCGGCGAGCAATTCTCCCATCACCTGGCACACTCGAGCTTGGGAACATGGCTCAAAGAGCATGGGGTCCCTGCGGTCACGGGCGTGGATACCCGAGCACTCACGAAACGGATCCGAGAAGAGGGTAGCATGTTGGGAAGATTGCTGATCGCGAAATCTTCACCCCATGGAGCCGATGCAGAACTGGACGATCATCTCAACAGGGATTCTACACCTCTATCATCGAACGGCGATGAGACGGAGCATTGGCGCACGGGGTTCGAGACCCTACCTTGGGATGATCCCAACAAGAGGAACTTGGTTGCTGAAGGTATTTTCCACCTGCTGTATTTTACCCGGACCATTGGGCTCATTCGTATATATAGTGTCCATAAAGGAACCAAAGTTATTCTCCCCGCCCTCCGATGATGCGTTGAAGCATCAAGGGCGCAATGTTCGTGTGATATGCGTCGATGTAGGATTGAAGTACAATCAAATCCGATGCCTGGTGAAGCGCGGCCTCGAGGTCAAAGTTGTCCCATGGGACTATGACTTCTCCTTAGAGCAGTTCGATGGACTCTTCATTTCGAATGGACCGGGTGACCCTGCCATGATGGAGGGTACCGTCAAGCGTATTGCGCAAGCCATGGAACTGGCCAAAGCGCCGATTTTTGGCATCTGCTTAGGCCACCAGCTCCTTGCTCGCGCAGCAGGTGCCAAGACTACGAAGATGAAGTTTGGAAACCGTGGTCACAACATTCCATGCACCAGCTTGCTCTCCGGAAGGTGTTATATCACCTCGCAAAACCATGGATACGCCGTAGATACCGAGTCCTTGACGGGCGGGTGGGAAGAGCTATTCGTCAATGCGAACGACGGTAGCAATGAAGGGATCCGGCATGTCAACCGCCCGTTCTTCTCAGTCCAATTCCACCCGGAACATGCCGCTGGCCCTCAGGATACCGAGGATCTCTTCGATGTGTTTGTCAACGCCATTACCCAATGTCTCGCCGATAAATCAGCGTTGTCCAAGTCGGTCGAGTTCCCCGGACTCACGCTCCAGGAGAACGAGAAGCTCCACCCTAGAGTGGAGGTGAAGAAAGTTCTCGTCCTCGGCAGTGGAGGGTTGAGCATTGGACAAGCTGGCGAATTCGATTATTCCGGAAGCCAGGCGATCAAGGCGCTCAAAGAGGAGGGCATCTACACCATCCTGATCAATCCGAACATTGCCACGATTCAGACCTCCCGAGGCTTGGCAGACAAAGTCTACTTCCTCCCGGTCAACGCCGATTTTGTTCGCAAAGTAATCAAATACGAGCATCCTGATGCCATCTATGTCACCTTTGGTGGCCAGACAGCGCTGCAAGTGGGAATCCAATTGAAGGATGAGTTCGAGGAACTTGGAGTCAAAGTTCTCGGCACGACCATCGATACCATCATCACGACCGAGGATCGGGAGTTGTTTGCTCGAAGTATGGAGTCCATTGGCGAGAAATGCGCGAAGTCGGCATCGGCCAGTAATACCGACGAGGCCTTACTAGCGGTCCAAGACATCGGATATCCGGTGATCGTCAGAGCTGCCTATGCACTGGGCGGATTAGGAAGCGGCTTTGCCGAGAACAAAGAGCAACTCGTGGACCTGTGCGATCGTGCATTCGCTGCAAGCCCGCAAGTCCTCATCGAACGCAGCATGAAAGGCTGGAAAGAGATCGAATACGAGGTGGTTCGAGATGCTCGAGACAATTGCATCACAGTGTGCAACATGGAGAACTTCGATCCCTTGGGAATTCACACGGGCGATTCTATTGTCGTTGCCCCGTCTCAGACCTTGTCAGATGCTGACTACAACATGCTGAGAACGACCGCTGTCAACGTGATCCGGCATCTTGGTGTGGTTGGAGAATGCAATATCCAGTATGCCCTGAACCCTGATTCGAGGGAGTACTGCATCATTGAAGTCAATGCCCGGTTGTCCCGTTCATCCGCACTCGCATCGAAAGCCACGGGATATCCTCTTGCATTCATTGCGGCCAAGCTCGGATTGGGCATTCCATTGAACGAAATATCCAACTCGGTGACGAAAGTCACATGCGCCTGCTTCGAACCGTCGCTCGATTACGTGGTGGTCAAGATTCCTCGATGGGACTTGAAGAAATTCACTCGGGTGTCCACTCTCCTTGGATCCTCGATGAAGAGCGTGGGTGAAGTTATGAGCATCGGTCGAACCTTTGAGGAAGCCATCCAGAAGGCGATCCGTGCTATTGATGGCCACAATCTAGGATTCAATGAAACCAGCGCCCTGATGAGCATAGACCAAGAGCTCCAGACCCCATCCGATCAACGCCTCTTTGCCATTGCCAACGCGATGCATTCTGGCTATTCGGTGGACAAGATCTGGGAGATGACCAAGATTGACAAATGGTTCCTGAGCAAACTGCAGGGTCTCAGCGACTTCGCGAAATTTATGTGCAAGTTCAACTCGAAGACGATTTCGCCCAACACTTTCCGCCAGGCCAAAGAGCTCGGATTCTCCGACCGACAACTGGCCAAATTCTGGTCTTCAACTGAACTTGAAGTCCGACGCGCCCGGCTGGACTATGCAATAACTCCCGTTGTCAAGCAAATCGATACCGTCGCTGCAGAATTCCCGGCCCAAACCAACTATCTTTACCTCACGTACAACGGAACGGAGAACGATGTTCAATTCACTGACCGTGGCATCATGGTGCTTGGGTCGGGTGTCTATCGAATTGGATCCTCAGTCGAATTCGATTGGTGCTCGGTGAGAGCGATCCGCACGCTTCGTGAACAAGGATTCAAGACGGTCATGGTCAACTACAACCCCGAAACCGTCAGCACCGATTATGACGAAGCCGATCGATTGTACTTTGAAAATATTACACTCGAGTCGATCCTGGACATATACGAGCTGGAGAACTCGAGCGGAGTCATCCTTTCCATGGGAGGCCAAACGCCAAACAACATTGCTCTTCCGCTACATCGCCAGAACTGTCGCATTCTCGGCACGTCCCCGGAGATGATCGATACCGCTGAAAATCGGTACAAGTTCTCTCGCATGCTTGATCGGATTGATGTCGATCAACCGGCATGGAAGGAACTAACCAGCATTGATGAAGCCAAGGATTTCTGTAACATGGTGTCCTATCCTGTGTTGGTCCGACCTTCTTACGTCCTGTCTGGTGCAGCGATGAATACGGTATATTCCGAACACGGCCTCGCGAACTACCTTCAACAAGCCGCCGATGTATCAAGAGATCATCCGGTTGTGATCACGAAGTACATTGAGAATGCCAAAGAGATCGAGATGGACGCCGTTGCGCGAAATGGAACCATGGTTGGCCATTTCATCTCCGAGCACGTTGAGAACGCTGGAGTCCACTCCGGAGATGCGACTCTGATTCTTCCACCGCAAGATCTGGACCCAGAAACGGTGAGGCAGATCGAAGACGCCACGAGGAAGATCGGAAACGCTCTGAATATTACGGGACCTTTCAACATTCAGTTCATCGCGAAGAACAACGAGATCAAAGTCATCGAGTGCAATGTGCGCGCCTCAAGGTCATTCCCCTTCGTTTCGAAAGTGATGGGGGTCGATCTCATCGAAATGGCTACGAAGGCCATGGCGGGTCTGCCACTGGTTGAGTATCCGCCTGTCAACCTTCCGCCGGACTATGTCGGTGTAAAAGTCCCGCAGTTTTCGTTCTCTCGACTGTCAGGTGCCGATCCTGTTCTGGGTGTGGAGATGGCATCCACAGGTGAAGTTGCGAGCTTTGGTCGAACCAAATACGAAGCGTATCTCAAGGCGCTTATCTCCACAGGATTCAAGCTTCCGGAAAAGAATATTCTGCTGTCGATCGGATCGTTCAAGGACAAAGTGGAACTGCTACCATCCATTGAGAGTCTGCACAAGATGGGCTACACATTGTTTGCGACGGCCGGAACCGCCGATTTCATTGCTGAACACGGAATTCCCGTCCGATTCCTCGAAGTCCTTGGAGGACATGATGCGGACCAGAAACCGGAATATTCGCTGATGCAGCATCTTGCCAATAACCTCGTGGATCTATACATCAACTTGCCTTCCAATAACAAGTTCCGGCGACCGGCAAGTTACATGAGCAGAGGCTATCGAACCCGGCGGATGGCTGTCGACTACCAGACACCTCTCGTGACCAATGTGAAAAACGCGAAGATTCTGATCGAGGCATTGGCCAGACACTATGATCTGGCGATTAGCAAAGTCGACTTCCAGGAATTCAATCCGGCCCCGACAACAGAGACGATCATGACACCACCGCTTCTCACCAAGCAGGTCTCATCTCCGTCCCTCTCACAGCTTCTTGCCAAGTCGAACTTCCGACAAAAGAATATCATCTCCGTCAACCAGTTCACTCGCGCAGACCTACATCAACTTTTCACAGTTGCTCAAGAGATGCGAATCGGGGCGTTACGAGACGGTTGCCTCGATGTCCTCAAGGGTCGAGTTCTATGCACCATCTTCTACGAACCCAGCACCCGCACATCCGCGTCATTCGATGCTGCCATGAAACGGCTTGGAGGTGAAGTCGTCGTCCTCCACGAGATCGCATCCAGCACCAACAAAGGCGAGAGCATATCCGATACGATTCGCACGTTGGGATGCTATGGTGATGCGATTGTTCTGCGACATCCTGACGAGACCAGTGTTCATACCGCCGCCCAATTTTCCACGGTACCCATCATCAATGCCGGCAACGGTAGCAAGGAGCACCCAACTCAAGCCCTCCTGGACATCTTTACGATCCGTGAGGAGCTTGGAACCGTGAACGGACTCACCATCACCTTTGTTGGCGATCTGAAATATGGTCGTACGGTGCATTCACTCTGCGAACTCCTGAAGCACTACTCGGTGTCTGTTCAACTTGTCTCACCACCGGAGCTCTCCCTTCCAGCTTCCGTCCGCGAAAATCTCGTATCTCGTGGACAGCTGGCGGGTGAATACACGGAGCTGAGCCCTTCGGTCATCGCTGAAAGTGATGTGCTGTATTGCACGCGCGTGCAGAAAGAGCGCTTCGAAGATCCGGAGGTCTACAACAAGGTCAAAGATGCATTGGTTGTGGACAACAGTGTGCTCAAGCACGCAAAACCCAATATGATCGTCATGCATCCGTTACCGCGTAATCGGGAGATCGCCGAGGAAGTCGATTTTGATCCGAGGGCAGCATATTTCAGACAGGTGAGTCAGGACTCTACTGCGTGGCAGAAATTTGCCGGGGACATTGCTAATGAATGTGCAGATGCGATATGGTCTCTACTGTCGGATGGCATTGTTGGCCTTGATTCTAGTGCCATGAAAAGTTACAATGAAAGGTTTCAGCGCATAATTGTAGAATCGTTAGTGTGGATATACTTAGTCATGGCCCGAGAATGCTTCCCTGAGATAGCATCAGGGAAGTGTAGAGCGTGGCCACGGATCGCGCCAGAAGGAATATCGATGTTCGCATTATAGAAGATCGTACACTGCGTCTTCCTCATTCCTCTCGACAAGCGCCCCGAAATCAAGCTTCATCAAGAGCTGATCAACGCCTCCACTCTGATCGGGTTGATAGGGCCTTCTACTTGGGTCATCCACTTCAAATCCATCAGATTCTTCCGTATTTGTTCTCAGCGTGCTGTGATCCAATTCCCGCAGACGAACCAACAAAGCCTTCATATCCCCGTCCAATCTTTTGCGTGATCGATCTAATTCCAGCTTCACAGTTGTCTCCTCGTGTTCGTAATCCATGAGAGCGTCAACGACACCCTCATCTGACTCCAGATCCAAAGCGGAGCGAATCAACGCAAGTCGCGTGAATGATCCGGTCAGTGCTTGGATATTGGCAAGAAACGAGCGCAAGATACCGGTAAAGGCGGGATCGGTGATTAGGAGCGATGTGCAAAGGGAGGATATAAAAGTTCGATGGGCGGATGCAACAGATTCAGGGTCATGCGAGCGTGACCCAGCATTCCCCGTATCTTGCATCGACGTCTCGTGCTTATCAGACCCTGCGGACACGAGAGAGAGATCCCGCATTGCTGACATTGCGTTCTCCCCGTCTGGCTGGCTCCTTTGGATCCAGGACCTGAATTGAAGCCAGCTATTTTGCACCACTTGCCCCTCGAAATACTCGCCGAGTTCAGAGAGCAAAAGCACACCCGCAGAGCACGTGGCCCAAACTTTTCGGCATTCAAGTCGTCGTTCTCGTTCTCGTTCTCGTTTTTGTTTCAGGACTCGCCGACCATAATCGGTATTGCTGCGAGGCGGGCCCGTTGGTGCTGGATGATCTCGACGAAGCAACGTTTGACGCCAGAGCTGGGAAAGGTGCATGTGTGCTCGACGGATTGCTAGAAGGTAGGCATGGATTGAAGAATATTTTTCCACATCGGACGAGGTGAGGAAGAGGTCCAGGGGAGAGGGGATAGAGAGAGTGAGTTGTACGGGGATGGAGAGAAGCATATCGTAAAATGAATGGTGTGTGTTCTTGATTCCATGATGAGACGTCGAAACTTGAGAACGGTTGCTGCTCATGTTTAGAGAGAGAAGTTTCCGGCCAAGGTCGAAGATGGGGTCTGAGGCATCCGAGTCATCTGTCATCGAAAGAAGAGTCGACCAGGTGCGAGCAAGAACTGAAGATATCTCCCCTTCTGTAACCATCAGACTCTTCAGGCTCGTGTCCTGCGTTGTTGTTGACCGGTTTGACATTTGTCTTCTCTCTTCCATGCACCGATCCGCTTCCGATATTAGACAGACGGCGAATTCACCTCTTCCTAACAAGAAAAATGCCGCCATCAAATCGAGCAGTTGTAAGATTCGTGGAAGAGGGAGCAGGTAACGTAATGTCTTTTGAGAAAATGTCTGCCGTATTCTATGGATCGCGGCAGAAAATTGACTGGATGTCAGTGGGCATTGCAGAGTGGACAAGACCGACGCCTGGTTTGGTAGAAGGGAGATATCAGCAACGCTGGAGTTTGCCATGAGTTTTCGTGTTTTGATTAGGTTCAGAGATCTTCCAACGAGGTGTATAGACGCAGCAACATCCTCGTCTACGAAATGTGGAAGGTGATCAGTGTGAAGATGGAACTCCGTTTCGCCGTTTTCAGTATTCGCCGTGATGAAGAAGTCATAAGTAGCACCTTTCGATAGATTGCCATACAACAGCCATGAAGATAACTGTCGAAGCCAGGCTCTTTCGGCAACACCTCGTAGGTCTAAGGCTGCTTGCTCAATGTCGAAATACCCGGTACTCGTCTCCCGGCGTAGTCGGTTGATAATGGAGGATGCCGTGCAGCTTTCCTTCGGCTCCTGCTTTGGGGCGAGCATGAATTCGGCAATCATACAATACCACGACATCAACCCCTGCCATGGATCGAATTCAGCAATAATTCCGGCCAGCGGGACGATATCGTATGCTCCAACTTGCGACGCATCCTTCCGTAGGATCTGCTCCTCCACCAAGAGGATTTTCCTTTGGAAACGAGCAAGATGGACGGTGCTGATGCACGTTGCCACAGCACGACAAACAAGCGAAGGGTGTGTCGAGGATATTTGGTGACAGAATTGTCGTGTTTTGTTGTGCACCTCCGCTAAAGTGCCGACAGACGAGAGAAGGGAGCGCTCCGTTGACGAGAGTGCAGGGAACGGTGTTTGATGATCAGGCGTTGCCTGTGGATCCTGGTTCTCGTAGAATAGAGGAGATGGATGGCCAGAAAGAGCAAGTAGAATTTCGTGAAGCATGATTGGAGGTCTGGTTGTGTCCGTACCTACGATATCATTGATGGGACTCCGTATGGTATGGAACGGCTGGTTGCATCACGGACGCAAGCAACCTATTTCTCCTAGTCTTGGATGCGATTCCGCGAAACGGAGTCAGGATAATTTTCGAACATTCAGGACTTGAGGTGAGATTTTCAAATCATCTTTTCGAATATGCCAGTTGCGCACGCGTGTCCAGACTCTCAAACGCGTGAACCGAACCGCAATTAATCGAGCGAAGACAAGAAAAAGCGTGGTGTTGATGAACAGTCTGAGTGATAGCTGTCTGGTGAGCCATAACAACCATCCCGCACATGTCCCCCTTCCAGTATTCCACGTCTCTTGTCAGCGTCACTAATAGAGAGAGTCACAGACTGAATTGATCGTAGAGAATGTACATCTTGTTGAGTGGACACTTTACAAATCATGGCGCATCCGGCCTATACTCCGGGTCCACTTTACTCTGCTTAAACAAACTCTTCCCACGAAGCCACTGCCGGTAGGCCTTATATCGTTTTTTCGCTCCGTCATCCCCCCTCACTGTCAGCGGATCATCGGGCAAGACAAGATAATCATGGTACTCCTCCAACACCTCCTCATCGGGCTCCCAAGGTCGCTCTTTCTGCCAACGCGCAGCCCCATTGTCCATTTCCTCGTCCGTGATATTTATGCCCAAGGCATTTCGACCCAGCATCGAGCCTGACGCAAGATCGCGCTTGAGATCTTTTCCGCCCACGTAGACCATAAAGTCTACCAGACTGCTATCTTCGCCGAACTCACCGGACTGAATAAGTGCGGCAAGTTCCTCCGAACCGGGCAATTCATTGCCCACAACCAGGGGCAGCTCCAAGGGATGTCGTACATATTGATCGTATTCTTCTGCTTCGGCGGCACTGACAGTGGGATTGAGACTGTGATGGTGGAACTGATTCAGGGTCCATAAGTGCTGAAGGGTTTTATCTCCAGGTGGAAAGGAGCTTGACAAGGAGTTCGATGTACCCGTTGTGATCGAAGAGTAAGGGACAGCATCATGGCTGGAGGCAACCGGAAGAGATCCGATTGAGAATGCCGGGGCTGGGAGTGGTTGAGCCGATTCATACGGATTTAGTCGCGTGGGTTTGGACTCTCGGATGATTCCTTGGCGAATTGGAGAAATTTCGCGAGGGGCGGATCCTGGGCGGGTGATGATGGACACGTCATCGCGTAGCGGATCAAAGATGGTGACGCCTTTTCGCGTTTTCTTGTCTGGAGTAGTCGGTCGCTCTGGGTCGGGGCGCCGTCGAGGCCGAAATGGAGACAGACCTTGGCGAGAATCTTGATGCCCTGTTCCTACCGAGGGGGCCCCAGTGCCAGAAATATATCGAGTGTTTACAATCAGTCGATACGAGAAGACCTTCGCAAGTGACGATATTGCCAATGGACGATAAAATTCTAGCCAGTAATCGTCAACCTGCTCCGGCTGTATTTGATTGACGTTGGACAGTTGGCGGAAGGGTACGGAGTGTGGTAGAGATCGTCTCTCAAGGAACTTTGGCGTATACCACTGGATATAGTTTCGCCTTTGAGCACGACTATCATTCCACGATCGAGGATCTCGGTGATGCAGGTAGTAGTCGGATGCCAGTTCCCAAAGCATGGGCTGGCCTTGCGCGTAAATGTAGTTCCCAAGGAATAGGTTATATGCCTCCTGACGCTGTGCATCGATGAATGAGTTGTTGTAGTATCGCTTGAATGACTCCACCATATCCCGGGAGGAAGACTGCCATTGATTGATTTTCCGATACGTGGACATGGTGTTGACCAAATGGGATCCGCCATATTGAACCGCGATGGTATCCCCGTGCTCGTGAAACATATTCGTGAAGATATCGGCGGCATCGGTTTCATATTCGACGGTCGGTTCCTCAATAATGCCAAGAGACTGCAGCTGTCTCCCGAACGCTCGTTTGCCAATGACCGACTGCGCAGCATTGGTCCGGTCCAGGCAGTCGATACAGTTGGTCCTCGCCACTCCGTTTTGGAGGCTCGGGTGGCCAACATTTTCACCACCGTTATGAAAGAATCCAGTTTTCGCCAAAATCTCCCCCGAAAGAATGTCCAGGGTCCCAATCACATCCTGGCCTCGCGTCTTGACCGCCCTACTCATGTCGAACGCCTTGTATAAGATCCTGTTCCCTTCCGGCAATGACTGGTTCAGATACCGTAGCGCACTTTCGAATTCATAAAGGAGTTTTGATTCTCGTGGCGTACGCTCTCTCGCCTTGATCAGATTGACAGCATAGATTGGAGATCCATATCGTTCGAAAAGATTGTCAAAGTGAAGTGCCGCTGCTTCGTAGAATGGGTCGACGAGATTCAAGTCGATATCTGGTTTCGGCGTGACCCCGGTATTTTCTTGCGTCCAGTACAACGGAATGCTTCCACGGTGCTGAACGTAGGATGTATACGTGGGATTGGCAAAAAGTCGGGGTCCAGGGGCGTGGAAACTGGTAGTGATCATTTCGGAAACGATTTGCTCCGTCTCAACGTCGTTCGCCACATATCCAAGATCATTTGAACCGCGTTTGAGAAATCTTGCTCCAGCAAAGCATCGCGAACGCCTGGCGATGATGGTCAAGTACACCCTGCGACCGAACACGTTCAGGGAAGACTGCGCGATGAATCCATGTATCACGGGCAGACACCAATCGAACGTGTTCTGAATGACACCTACTGCAGGATTGAGTAGATGACGATTCCAGACGAACATGTCGTTCCAGTCGTGCGGGTACGGTGTTTGGCCCTGAGCAAGGGCTTCTCGTTCTCGGATAATATTCTGCTGCAGGCTTCTGGTGATGTTGTAGGAGTAGCTGAAGTAAAAGTTGTTGTTCAAGTCAAAGTTATTGAGAATGCTCAAGTATCGGGCCTCCTCTGGGTTGCGGTCGCGCTGAAACTTCGAGGTCGAGCCGGTGGTGAGAGGTATCAACTCCGTTCCATCCACTTGATAGATATAATGCCCTCCAAGCATGGCCACTTGAGTCCGCTTCGTGATGAGAAGCATGTAGTAAGCTTCAGTAAATCGAATGAAGCCCATCAGTCCCCAGCTGGAGCATTTCAGCTTCAGTCCACCGCTGGCCTTGTTTCCGTCATCGATGGCATTTAGCAGTTGGTTCATTTCGCGCTTGTCGTAAACTATCTCATCCTCGAAAATATTGAGATGACCAGGCGGTGCTGTGCGATCGATTTTCAGGACGCGAAAGTGTCGGTCAAGGACGTCGCCCGCGACGAGATAGAAGCGCGTTGTCGTCTCGTACAAACTGAAACGGTGCATCTTGTGTCGGGCACTATCGCCAACTCTTTCATAGCCGGCACTTTTATTTCTCTGCATCGTTGTCGGGCTGTTACTTCGCTCAAATGATTGAGGGATGAGCGCTTCTTCTTCCTGGGCGCCGTCGAACTGGAGGCTCTCCGTTGCTGGAGACGCATTTTCAATCCTACTCTTCCGGTCGAGATTGGGAACAGCTTCATACGTGGAATTGGGTCCACCCTCATTCGAGAAGCCATCCTTGCTCTTTAACATATGATCTTCGAGTTGTTCAGCACCTTCAAGTTGCGGATCATGCCTTTTCGCGGGCGGGTTCCCATGATCTGCAGTATCCGGCATGTTGAACCGCCTTGGTGGGGATTGATCGGACAAGTTGACGAGGCTTAATTTAGCCAGGCTTCATCCTCCCATTCTTGACCCAAGTCAGACGCTTCTGTATATAAGACAAGAATTCAAAGTTCGCTGCGGTCTCAGTTAGATGCCACCTGTGGTTGCGATCACCAAACGTCATCAGGGCTCGTGTGCAACAACAACAGGTAGGGATGTCAACTTTTGCATCTTAATGATTCGGAAAGAGGACGGATATTGGTTTCATTAAATCTTCAGGTAGGCGGACGACCAAACGTTTGAAGGCAATGATAAACTGGTGATTGCTTGCAGTATTAATGCTGTCTATGGGCGAAATGTTGATGAGCGGTGGCAAAATTGGGATATAGAGCATCACGGGACGCTGTTGTTGATGGACTAAGATAAGGCGCTCTACGCTTAATTACCTCCGATATCTCTACGGTATGGTCTATTTGGTCTCTACATAATATCCATATACAGATTAGCCATCTTCGTCGCCATTTATATTGATGCCATCTCCTCCTTGGGGTATCATTAAGTCGACCGATGTCCGGTTCATCCGCATCGTGCCCTGGTGGATACAAGATAGAATATATTGGGTATTGCCTGGAACATGAATTGTCCAAATGTATGGCAATTTTGCTCACTCCATCTTGATCGAGGTGTGCTGAGCTGACTGATAGCTAGTTTATTCGGATTCTTGCATGTCTGACTTTGAAAGCTCCTGGACCCCAAAGCCGTCCTGGTCAGGTCGCTCCTTTTCGCCCAACGGTTCAAGAGTAGTCCCATCAGCAATGAGCTTCGTTGGACTTGGCGGAACAGGGCCCATCAAGCTTCTCCGATGTGGTTTCATGTCCAATAGTTCTTCCGTTTCCTCCACATCTTGCTCCTCCTCCCCATTGTCATCCAACGCCGTTGGGCCTCTATTCTGTGTAATCACTTCTCTCAGTTGGTCAACGAATTCCTTCATATGTGGAAACTCCGAATGCATGCCCGCCACATCGTCCGACCCATATGCCTTCGTCGCTTGTATGAGAGCGTGGTCTGCTCGTGCATATCGCCCCAACCGTATCCAATGATCCGAAGCCAGCACGTTCCAGAACGCCGCACTCCTCATTCGAGACCCGTACCGCAACATTCCAAGGCCTGGTCGCACTGTGTAGCATGCCGCCACGCGTTCCGCTAGTAGCACATGTCCAAGGGGGCCAACAAGGCCTAGTTCAAGCGCCTTGGATGCCCAAGTGACGGCACTGTCCGCAGCGGCTGTATTGACGGTGACGCGAAGTTTGAGAAGCTCCAGAGCGAGGCAAAGGCATCGTAGAGCATAATAAGGGGTGGAGCAGCGAGTGATGTAGGAGTATGAGGCGGTATCGAGGAGATTATCGATCGTTTCCAAGCGAAATTTGGAACTGGTGCTCGAGGTGCTGAGTGAGGACGTTGACGCTGTAGCCACAGGCCCTGAGCTTGGTGTAGATGCGTTAGCGAGCATGAGAGCCGATATCACAGCCATTTCGTTGGCACCGGCGTGATACTTCCAAGCCTTGTCGTGGGAAAAGTCCTGCCGTAGCAAGTCGTAGACGGAATGTGCAAGCTTGAAGTCACGAAGCATAAAAGCGAAATCGGCTAGCTTTCGCATGATCGCTTCCGGAGAGTCCGGTCGATAAAAGCCCTGCAAACCATCGTAATTCGAATTCGAATTCGTGCTGCCAAGGGATCCGATGGGATTGGAGGATGTTCGGGAAGAGCCGAAGGGGGCCCAACGTTTGGAAAGGGACATAAAACGACCGGAAAGACCTCGACGGCGGGAAACGACTTGTTCGTTCCATAGGGCAGAAAGTCGTTCCATGGAGGGAATAATGGATTGCGTGGCAAGTTCACGAACAAACGTGCGAATGGCGGTCGCGTCCGATTCGAAAATGCAAGGGGTTGAATCCTCGCCTTCGTATATCGCTTCTAAAGAGGCGGTTAGATTATCCCGGCGCAGGCGGAAGAACGACGTACCTCTTCGCTGGATTTCGGCTAGTTCTTCACTTGCTGATACCCATTCGCTTGCTGGCAGCCTCAAACTGTCATCATCCGAGGGGACACACTGACTACTCCTCAAGCGAAGGAGGTGGCAATGTAACCCGAATTTTCGTTTCATTTGCTCGTATAGTGCCATGGACTTCGTGATATCGTCATGATCGTCATCGTGAACCAGGACGTAATATCGAAGATAGTCGTTATTCACCCACGGCGGCAGTCTCCGCTCCCCCGTATTCGTACTGTCGTATAGTCGACGAAGCTCATCGATCGGGTTCGGGATTCGCGAGCTAATGGCGATTACACATGCAACAGGATGTGCAAAGGTTTCATGTGGAGTCATCGGAAATGCGGATAGGAGTCGGCGTAGGTAGAGAGTATAGAAGGGAGAGATGGTGTCGGAAAATGGAGACTTCGGGTCTGGATAGTCCTCGGGTTGATCGTCCGGTTCCGTTCGCGACTCTGCGAATGCGAGATGTCGGTCGACAAGGTCTTCCACTTGCGAAATGTCGCCGCCCACCCTTGCGTACGACAGCATTGGTCGAATGGTCTCAGGTGAACCATTGATCGGGTCCATAGTTGCCTCCAGACTTCGTCGTATCGGTGGCTTTGGTGCCCCTAGTCCGTCCCTCAGACCAGTAAACCGGAGTCCATATTCTTCCCAACTCCTGCTTGATCCAATACTATCCCGTATCACCACTTTCCCCGGGACCTTTTCTCCGAATGGTCGAATGAGTTCGAGGAAGCCTTCTACAAACCCCTTTTCCCGCATCATCTCTTCGGTATCTTCGGATGCAAGTACCCCAACGTGCGGTACGAAGGCTCGGAGAATGAGATCTCTTGGCTCGCCTCTCCGTCCCGAAGACGTGGGAGCTGTTTGATCGGAGCCATTGTGACTTCCCGTAGTCGTTGAGGCGCCAGCGATGACAGAAGGAGTGGGTGTAGCCGAACCCGAGCTGGGATGCGAGGTCGGGAGGGAAGAGGTGGAAGCGAATAGAGAGGACAGCGACGGATTCGAATGACGGTAGGGAAGAAAGGTGGATGAGGATACCTGTCTAACCCGCGGAAAGACGCTGGAGGATTCTAGGTCTGGGGAAGGTGATTGCACTGGGCTTTTAACGGGGGAGGACATGTATGGCGACTTATGGCACCCAACAAAGGGTGATGATTAGGAGGCCGATCCTCGATGATGGATGCGATGTTGGAAAATACATGGGTTATGGAGAAGTGATGGATGGGCCAAGCGGAGGTGCGCTGGGGGGAAGAAAGAGGTCAAAGGGCTGCTATCACCCGCAGCACATGTCCGATCGATCCCATGCAGAATCTCTCACTATTGAAAGATGATATTCTTACGTTGTTTGCATCTGATGCGCATGGATAGAACATGGTGATCGACTGGAGGCCGCGAACGCCGGAGAACAGCAAGGGAATATCCCGAAGTTTAGCCGGTGGGAGGTGGCTGATCATCGGGTCGATTGCTGGTTTGCTGTCACGTGAAGCTGCCGAGAACATATCCCTTAGGTAAGCAGGCGTGGGAGCCTGGTAGGTCTCTCTGCCTGTATGACGCATATCTTCAACAACGGAGTCAACATTCGAGATTCTGGCACGGAATATTAGTTCAGTACGAGAGCAATCCTATTGAAGCACCTGGACCACGATTCACCAGGACAGCTGAAATGACCAAGTCGACATCTCACATACTTAAATGAATCTGCAGTGGAGGTGCTATGAACTGCTGTCCATTTGATGCCACTCCTTGATCGCATCCTTGTCCTTCCACAGAAACGTCGACTTCACCTTTTCCACTCCTGTAACACTTTTCGGCCCTTTCTAGTACGGTCAACAAGATTTTCGGTTGTATCAATCTGTTTCTCTTCCTCCCGCCTGCCATCAATGACTGAACATGGCAATGATGATGCGCGTGTAACAAAGAGACAAAAAATCCAGGGCAGCGTGATCGAGAGGACAGCAGACGCAAAGAAACCCTCTGAAATGGCGGCAATGACGAGTCGAAGAGATTTGGAAATCAAGTTGACAGAAGTCGAGTCGACTTTGGCACGATTCTTCTTGGATGTTGCCCAACACATTGATCAGAATCCTTCCGGAGAGGTCCCTCATGCGAAAGCAACTGATGATCCCACCATTTTACGCTTCACGGGTGGATGGGTCCGAGATAAGTTGCTGGGGGTTGCTAGCCACGATATCGATGTGGCAGTCAACAATATGACTGGCTACCAGTTCGGACTGGTCATGAACCAATATCTGGACATCCCCGGAAAGTCCGAGAAATATGGCCTTCAAGGTTTGGCTGGGAAGCTCCACAAGATCGCAGCGAACCCCGAGAAATCGAAACATCTGGAAACCACGACGACACGGGTCTTCGGCCTAGACATTGATATTGTCAATCTACGAAAAGAAACATATGCAGAGGACAGCCGCAACCCACAGATGGAGTTTGGCACCCCTGAAGATGATGCTCTGCGCCGCGATGCGACCGTCAATGCCTTATTCTACAATTTGAATACGTCCAAAGTGGAAGATTACACCGGAAGAGGTCTCAATGACATGGAGAAGAAGTTGATCCGTACCCCCTTGGAGCCTTATCAAACATTCAATGACGATCCCCTGAGAGTCCTTCGACTTATCCGCTTTGCGAGTCGGCTGGACTATGCGATCATACCTGAGGTATTGGAAGCCATGGCCGATGAATCGATCAAAGCGGCATTACGGCTGAAAATCAGCCGCGAAAGAGTCGGGGTGGAAATTGAGAAAATGCTCAAAGGGCCAAGGCCTTTGATGGCGCTTAGCTTAATCCATCGACTTGGGCTCTATGGCACGATATTCACCGATCCGACCATTACACCCTCGTGGCGGCCAGATACCCAGAGGTGGGACTCGGTTTACAACTTTGTGAGCAGCCTTTTGCTGTCGGATGCGGATGAGAAATTGATATCTCTGCGTTCAATCCTAATCCAGAATGAAGAGGATGGGTTCCTTGCGTGGGTGCTGGCTTGCACCGTTCCGTATCTGGATGCCCCAGAGCCTGCAGCCAACAAAAAGGGCAACAACCCCTCTCACCCTGGAGTATCCGCATTACGTGAAGGCATCAAGGCTCCAAACAAAGTTTCCGAGGTCACAGCAATTGCATACCAAAACCGCTCGGCTATAAAGGACTATAAGGACGGCCTGTTTATGCAGTTGAGAAATCCTGCTTCGAGAAAGAGCACGACCGATTTTGCTGCTCGAGATGTTCTTGGTCTGGCAATTCGACGATGGGGCTTTACTTGGAGGAGCCAAGTGCTTTTTTCCATGCTTGACGAGATCCATTCGGGCACAAGGAGCATCGCCAGTAAGTGCAATTTCCCATCATACTGGACGACAACTGAGGTATAGCGCAGCCATTGTTTCCTCCTATGAGGCATTCGTCAAGCACGTAGAATCCTTAGATCTTCTCGACGCATATGCGTTGAAGCCCATCATCAATGGGAAAGCCCTTATGCAGGCCCTAGGTGGTAAATCAGGACCGTGGCTTCGAGGTGCATTGGACACGGTTATGGCATATCAACTTCGCAATCCCGGGAATGCCGATGCATCCGCGGCTATCGATGAAATAAAAGCGGCTCGCAGTAGGGACGAACGAGAAACCAGAAACGAGGCGAACAGTGGTGAGCTCACCAGGTCACTTATTCATCATTTTCTGAGGCTCACAATTCGCTCTTCTTTCGAAAAGCATCTGGCTCCCGAAGTGACCAGTGATGGCCGAAAGAAGCCTTCGAATGCAATCAGATCTTCGAACGACTACATCGACGAAGAGAAGGAGAAAAACCTCAAACCCTGGAAGCATGGTGATGGTTTGGCATTGGAGCTGCTGATCTGGTCTGCAAAATCCATCAGAAGCCAATGGGTCCAAGATAACTGGGGATTGCTCATACCCCCAATCCTTACCTTGCTCGATGACCATGATACTGGATATAAGATAATTGGATGCGATTGTTTGAGGCATGTCCTGGAAGTGACCCCGTCGTTACATTTGCAGCAAACAAATTTGGCAAATCTATTCGAAGAGAAGTTGTTGACATGCTTCTATTATCTACCGACCTCAATTTCGGTCGAAGACAGCTCGAGGACCCTTGCAGCAGCCACGGCAGCGATGGTCCAGCTCATACGATCACGATGGGCAATCGTGGCCAAACCTGATATGGACCGACGCGTACAAGCACTAGACAAGCTTCTCCGACAAGGGATCCTCCGGCCATTGGAGCTCGCAGGGGACAATGCAGCGTTTGCCGCCGTATTGTTTCAAAACATGGCGTCCATTCTTGATGAGATGGAAATCCTGTCTGTCAAGCACATGCAAAACGTGCTTGACCCGATCTGCGGAACTCTTCGCGACCCATTCTTGCATGCCCACCCCCCTCTCGCGATCGCGACGCTTGAGGCTCTGAGGTCACTCATGAGAAACGCTTGGCCTCGAATTATTCCACACCGACAACAGATTATCCGAGGGTTAACGCGTTGCTGGGTCACTTTATGTGAAGACTCGCAGCAACCCTTCAGTAATGAATCGGAACTGAATGCAGCTCGACTGGAATGTAAAGAGGCCTGGGAGATGTTGTCGGCCATCACGATGCACGGGGGTGTTGATATAGAGGATGAGATCCATGAAATGGTCGAGGCCGACCTAAGGTTGGGCGGTCTTTTCCAACGCAAGGTGTGAATCCGAATGAATCTTCCTCATTGTGCCTCTGCCAAAGCCGGCAGATCCCTCTCATTCGGATCTAAATGAATATTAGCCATACGAGCTTGTGCTTCCTCGAGCTCCTTCTCCGAGTTACTCAAGCTTGTAGCCGTTGCTGGACCCGAGGTGTCCGTGATTTTCGTCTGTTCCGCTCCGGACTCTTTTCCAATCTGGTCCAGGGAGGCCAGGCGTGCTTTCAGCTTCTCTAGCTCCTGGTCGTTTTCTTGGGATTGCTCGACCCCTGCCATCGCTTGGGCCTTCTCCTCTGCTTTGGTCTTCTCCTCTGCTTTGGCCTTCTCCTCTGCTTTGGCCTTCTCCTCTGCTTTGGCCTTCTCCTCTCCCTCCAGCCGTTCCAACTCATCCTCTACGTCGCCTTCATCGACGGAGATTTCAGCCTGGCCGGTAATGACGCTCGAAATTTCCCCTGATATGCCCAGTTGTTCCTGAAGGCGGTCCACAACGTCTTCGACGCCTTCTACCCCACCAACGGCCTTATTGAGACCCTGGAGCGCATTTGTCGAACTCTTCATTGCCCGAACAACTTCCACTTGGGTGGACGCATCTTCAATTTGCAAACGAAGGGATTGAAGCTGATGCAGTGTCTCGCGGCGCTTCTCGGCAGAAGATTCGGCTAGTTTTCTTGATCTCAAAGCAGAGAGCGCCGCGCCTCGGCGTTTGCCTTCAAGCGCCGTGCGCGCAGCCCGTTCATGATGAGAAACCTGGTTCTCAAGCTCGGAAATGGATGGGGAAAGCTTGGAGATAATCGTATCAAGCTGCGCCACGGTCACATCAGCCTCATTAATGGGGGGTGGCGGATTGGAGGAGCCTGGCAGGGCAAATTTAACTGTGCTGCTCTCACGCGAGTAGGTAGCCACCGGAGGATCGGTATCGCGAGACAGATGAAGAATAAGGAGTTCCATGGACAGAGGAGATGGGTGGGGTTTGGAGGAGAGCTTTGATACAAGATGAGACAGCGTTGTCGGTGTGAATACGAGCGTTGAATGGTCGTTCCGCAAATGTGCTAGAATTTGTGAAGTCGTGGCCTTCAAAGTCGTCAGCATAAATCCTGTCTGTAGCCCAAGTCCCAGCCTACCTCGAGGTTTTCTCGAAGGACAAATCTACCCGTTGCGGATGAATGAGTTCCTGACAAATCGGGTACACCCAATCGTCTCAATCCCCACCGCATCACCTCCCAGGGCGATATACTCCCCAGCCAGCCTGTATTTCGCTTGGAGATATTACTCGTGGCAGAAAGGAACTCCTCCAAAGGTATAAACACATCGCGTGCGATGGCGTCCGCCTGATATGTCATTAGCAGCCTGTTCCAAGCTAACGACCGTGGAGCTTTATCACGTACAATGACATCTCCAAGCCCGGAAGGCCTCCCTAATTCTCTAGTTTCGAGAGCTTTCGCGAGCTTCTCCCCAGACTCCAGTATGTACGTGTCGCTTCCCGTCGCATCAGTTGTGTTGTTAACCGTCGTTGCCGCTCCAGACTGTCCGGGTAAAGCACCCGCCCGGGCTGCGTGCGCTAACGCGTTTCTCCATGCGTCGAGATTGGCGGTGTAGCCGTCTGGATTGGCGGTTCGATGGGCGGGAAAATCGGAATATAATGATGCTACTCGTCTCTTGCTTGGAGAATATCAGTACACGCTTTGTAGGGATAGAATATGGGGACAAACCTCTGAAACGCCTCCTCATGGGTAAACAGGAAATGGAGTAAATCGGACATGTTGTTTTATTCGCGGAACCATAATAAAGGAGCGCGCTCGGCCTCGACACGTCTACATATGTCGTAGTATGAAGAGCATGCTCAAGTCCATGAATAGTAGATAGTTGAACTTGGGCGAGCCGAACATGAAGTTTCGAGGTTGTCATGGTGATTGGATGAGCCGTTGAAGATAAATCAGGTCAACCCCCCAACCCACTTCGATTCCATATCATTCGTAGCGTACCGCTTTAAGCACCTTTATAGCAAAATCAAGCATTTAATTGTCAATCATTGTGCTGTATTGGACTGTCTACGCCCATATCATGCCAAATCAGGCAATACGGTAATGTATTCTATGCTGTTATCTATGGTGTTGACTACAGGCTGTACACTGGCTTTCCGCGCTGCCCCCAAACGGTGTATACCGGGATTACAACAAAGGTTGTAGAAAGTGAGCCGGCCATAGAAAGGCAATGTTCTAGCAAACATACCCTCTCGATGCGCCACAACCGACCCTTAGATCGATGTTTCCGTTTGCTCAACATCAGCCACTGGTTCATGCGGCAAATCGAGCAGGGGCGGCTTCTTTATGCTATCGCCCTCTGCCTGACTTGTCTCTTCCATCAGCGAAAGATGGTTTTGCTCTAACCCCGAAGTCTCGGCGCTATGCGCGTTTAGATTGCGGTTTTCAGGGTACGAGGGAGACCTTTGAGCATCCGTGTCTTCCATCTCTTCAGGGCTCTGAGAATCTGCAATCACGGCCCTTGAATCCAGAGCATCATGCCCATCCTTCTCTTTATCAAGGGCCTCCCTAGATGTTTTTGCTTTCATGGCTCGCTCTCGTGCGTCGGCAACCAAAGATTCAAACTGGCTTTTGTTCTTGTCCCTCCAAACATCTTTGTCGAAATCTTTTTTCGAAACATCCGAATTTGATCCAGCCGTTCCCCTTAGCGATTGTCCGCCTTGAGTTCGCTCCCATACATCGAGCTCTCGCAGTAAATCCTTTTTCAATCTTGGTCTTGAACTGTCACAGTTGGCATTGTAGATGTTGACCCATTCGGTGTGCCGCCGAATCAATAACTGCCGGGGACCCCAGTTCGGAATACCTAGTTCGGAGAGTTTGGTTCGAAAAGCGCTGTCTTTGAGAAGACTGTAGTTCAACTGAGCGATTGGTTGTAGAGCGAGGTCTCTCGGTGAATTCAGCGTTCTCGCGACGGTATTTGCAGGCTGATTCTTCGTGGGCCTGCTCATGCTAGCAGTGTTAGTCGTCAGTGCCCCGTGTGTATCTGTAGGCGCAGTGCAGTTGTCGAGATGGGAGAAGACATATTCCTCCTTCATCCGCTTTCCGCAGATCGGACAGGGCACCAGCATGTCTGGGGTATTCGTAGACTCGCTGGAACGAGGCATTGCTGGTTCGGGGGTATAATCTGAGTCTTCGGAGTCGGGTATCGTAATTGGTTCGCCAGATCCGATAGGTATTGATGTGTGTTGTGGATTTCGTCGACTTTGGCTGCGCGTTTGTCTTCTGTCTGCACCCTCGTCATCCCTTGACATTCCTATGTCACGTTTTCGTTTGATCCCTCTCCTGCCTTGTATTTCATCCTCGGCGGGACAATTCAGAGTGTCCTGGGTAGACTGCCGCCGGGCCATGTTCATCATCGTCTTTCGAGAAGCGGTGAATGCGTCAACAGCTTCTTGGACTGCCCAGTTCTGCCTCAGCTTGCTTGCTTGATCTCCAGATCGGCAAGCGGGGCATTTTCCATCACTGGAAAGGCATTTTCGGATACATAATGAGCAGAAGGTATGTGAACAACTGGTCATCATTGGGGTGTCGAAGAAATCTTTGCAGACCTGACAGCGTAGTGAGGACTCGAGAGGAGCAATTTCGGGTAGCGCTGTCGACAACCAGTCGGACGGATCTGGTATTTCAAAAGTGGTGTCCATATTGACAGTTCTGCGGATGATCTTGGGAGGAAGCTGTGGAAAACTGTGGGAGACGCGTTTCCTATCACCATGACGTGTTGTCGCGTTTATGGATGTTGGCTAAGTGTCTGGTGTGGCTGTGTGGATGGAATAGTGGCGCCTCACGCAGCAATCACTGCCTGGATTCAGTGGAGTAAAACCCCCGATAGTTATCAGGTATTTTCAAAATATCGTTTATAGTAAATATTTACGCCTGGGAAAAATCCCTGATTTCGGGTATTTAGTTAACAGTTTTCAAATATTGCCTTTAAGTAATTAAGCAATGGTTTACGACCAGGGAAAAATACCCGATATCGGGCATTTTTATTCATGTTTGCTGCCTGTGTGGTATTGATGAAGTATGGAGTAGGGGGATGTTATAAGTTAGTCCTATAGCTTTTCTAATCCTCTCTTTAGCGGCCCTGGTGCACCCGTCTCATCAGTGATTTCTCCACGGTGGACAATATCACTCTCCCTTAAGGCGATGGCTGGAACCACCCATGAACCACATGAACAATGTCCTCCATGCCATGAATACGACCCCAAGGAAATCTTACATCCAGGGCAATATATCGTCCCTTTGGTCCATTCCTTCGAGAACTCCGCCCTCATCCAGGAGAGGGGCTTCAGCATGATCTGATCACACTTTGCATCTCCTGGATACGATGGCGGCCTGTATGGAGGCTCAGGAGGAAGATGAGGATGAACATAGCCCTCAGCCGCAAGGGCAAACCTTTGGGCCTTATTTAGTCGGCGACAACCAGCTGAAGGAATTCACTTACTTGCAGTGCCTGCACCGAATGGCATGTGAAAGTTCGGTTTCCACCTCCTGCTCAACCCCAGCTTGTGCTCGCATGTACTCATCTTCATACAATAGCCTCTCCGCTCCTGGAGCTTTACCCCTGAACCTAGCAAATTCGACTGAGAGAAGTCAGCGCAAATCCCAAAAACTTCTGTTGCGTATGAACGAACCTTCTTTCTTATGTTGCCATCGACGATACAATTCCTGACCTTCAATCACATCTGGAGTGCCCATCTCATGGTATAGTTGAAGTTGCTCATAGAATCCAACGTTTGGTTCAACTACAGGGCGCCCTTCTCTTGCAAAGGCCAGGGCTTTGGCAGGGTCAAGGTCTCGGAACCTCCATAACAGATATGCAAGCGTAAACGTTGCAGAGCGGGATTTTCCCATCGCACTTGAGGCTTGGTTAGCATTCAATTCCTCGGGGAAGATAAACACGACCAGACATACCAGTGCACCAAGACTCCTCCCCCACCTCTCAAGGCGTCATCAATAAATTTATTGGTCTTAGGGAAGAATTGGATAATATCTTCATCTTCATCATCCTCAAGCTTGATTTGAAAATGCTCATAACCGTCGATCATCGCGGGTTCCATGTGGTAATTGATGGCAGAAAGGACATGTGTGACTCCAGCTTTGACCAAAGTCTGTTTTCCATGCAATGCCATCAACCTACAACGGTCAGTTGGTATCCGATCAGAGCCAGGAGTTGTACGACCTACCCTCCAATGAAAAGCTTCAGCTCCCCCGGGACTTTATCAAAGAAGTTCATCCTTGGTCTTCCATTAATCCAATCCATGCGTCATGAAAGGACACGCCGATATTGGCGTTTACAGCAAGAACATGTCGGTCCATAAGGACGTTGAATCTGGACGTCTTCAGGGTCGGATCGGACCGCAGACCGAGGTTAGCGTTCATATCGTTCGGGATGCCGACAACAGGAGGTGGGTCTCATTTGCAAGTCGCGGGGTTTTAGCGGGGTTGTTATTGTTCACAGTTGAAATATCTTCCCACCAGTATTGTTATTACTTCGCCAACAACTGTCGGTCATTACGGAATACTTCAAACCAGTATCAATGAGTTGACTTGGTGTCTTGGTCAGGTGACGTCGACTCTATCTGATTGCAGCCCTCTTCAACCTCACCTTGCACTCCATCACCGGACTTCCTCACTCTTCTACTGGGAGCTTCGCGTCTGCCACTATGCCTGCCTCTTGAACCGTTGCCAAGTTCGCTCAATGCTGAACAACGACCGTTCTGGTGCTGTCATTGAACAAAGATATCGTGCCAGGACAATGAGACTCTCGATTAGACACTACGGTAGCTCGCGTTCTCGGCGCACTACAGTTGGTACCCTAGGATCGGACTCCGCGATAGGTTAATGAGCGGGTCGCGGAAGAGATATCAGACATGCTGGAGTGTCACAGCGAAGCGGGCCCGCGATCTACCCGCCTAGTTGTACTATACAGCATGATGGGCGAGTATGTTAACGAACCTAGTGCTGAGGAATCATCATTTGTCAACTACACCCATCATGGGCATACCTGGGATTTGCCGCGAGTGTCGCCAGGGCTGCAGTGCCGGAACTTTCAACTACACCAGCCATTAAGAATCTATCTCTCCGCCTCACCGCGACCTCGTTCAGGGCGTATGACGATGTCTCACAGAATCGAAGTTGTGGAGCACTACCCTGTATTCTTATCCCTTTCTATATCGAGTAGGGTGTTGCGTGGTGACGCGATCGATTGCGCTGCTGGTTTGATGCCGGTCATTGAACGAGACGGGCGTTCTGGGCCTGGGGATAGTGCTGCTGTGATATCGGATTCTGAAACTGCGTCGGCGGCTGGATAGTTTTCGACACCCCTCTATATCCACGTCACTGAACGGGAGCGATTCCTAAGTCGCCAATACTCTCTAGGCCCCCTCAAAAACCTAACGCATGTTTCATTTTTCGTGATGCCAGGGTCGGACTATTTCGAGGCTAGCTGACCTCGATTACTCTCAACTACTTCCTCTATAGTCCTCTGTTTTTTGTATTGGCGACGACAGTCAAAGATTGCCAATTCTGTGAGTGCATCTCCTGATTCGCGGGGCCAGCTGTGGGTAAGGTTCCTGACCTCCAGTTGCCTGCGATTCAGCATGGGTAGCTGTACAGTTTGTTTCTCGCACCCCTTTGATCCTCCATCGACATCGTCGGACTGACAACTATAGATCAAGATACCATAGCAGAACTATGTGTGCTTAATGTCCCAGCGGCCTGTTTCATCCCGCTGCTCGACCCACACCCCGACGAGCTGAAGCGATGGCCACGGGAGGACACCCGTACACACCATTGGCAATGGCATGCGGTTGGCTTCGTCTTTCTAGGCGGAGCGAATGGGGTCGGAGCTCAATATCTCCATGTCTTTGGATAAAACTGCTCCGTGAGGGAAAGAGTGAATCGGAGATCCGCTCGTGAGAATTGAAGAGCTGCGTAAAGTAGAGCCTGGTACCAATGGAGGCATGAGACGAGACATCGCTGTCGTTTAGGGATATGCCAACGACGCCATCGGCTGCTATCGAGCGTGCCGTCTCGCATTCGCGATTCAAGTGCTTGTTAATCAGACCCGTTGCTTCTACCTCGAGTTTTTAGAAACGTTCCCAACACCGGCCTTTCTTGATTCCATCAATTTCCAGAAGGATTTCCCAAGCTTGAGCAGATAGTCTCGTCTGATACCCAAACCTTCCCTTATCGAAGCTGCTGCTCCTCTCTCCATTCCCCGCAACATGCCGCGACGAAGCCAAACAAGTACGCTACGACTTCAACTTGCCGAATGTCGGGAACCGGACCCAAGCACAGGTCCTTGCTGCAGGTGTGATTAAGCCCTTTGCAGAGTGGCTTTTGGCCCCCAGCACATTCGGTCTCCTGGATTCCAGCAACCCGTTCTTCGACCGACTGGTTGCGATATTCAAGCAACCAGGACTCGTGGCGGAGGAAATCGTGTGCGAACTCCTCATCTCCGTATCGATAAATCGACGTTGCTCGAGGGATGGCGGATTCGGGACCCCGCTACAGTTCGGCCAGGTCGCCTATCATAAAGCAACTGGATGCAACGGCGTGTCGCCATAGAGAGGTGGCTTGCGCGCGCCGTATGTAATGAGAATTCTGTCATGGATCAGCGATCAAACCGCAAATCAAGCCACATCTTTTCTCACTGTCCTTGGAACCTGTTCCCGAAAGCCGGGCTTCCAACGTCCGGCCTTTTTTTCTGCGTTCCAGACATTCGCGACAAAGATGAGCCGCACGTCAAGAGTGAAGCCGAAATCTTCCATCCGCCACCCGTGCTGCCCTTGTTTGGACCCAACCCCGAGAGCGATGAGGAGTGAGTTCCGACACGCTGTGACTTCTAAGATCAACCCACCTATGATCCTCGCTTCCGTGTGATCTCTGCTCGACCAACGCGGGTAGAGAAATGACACACTCCCGGTATGTGGAGATTTCCGAACTCATGGACGGGGTGCTAGACGAGCTATATTCGGTCCCTAAACCCGCGTTTCTATCGCTCCGCTGCTGTGATGCGCCACGACCCGCCATCTCCGTCTCTCTTGTTGCTGGAAGATGGTTCTCTCCATCAATGTATATGGAAGCCTCATTCCGTCTTGCTCAACGGCTTGGCCTCTTGTATATTCTCATATATGTAACTTTATCAGCCGCCCATGCTTTGGGTCCCCTTGGGTTAGTTCAACCAATTTCAGAATAACACCTAGGTTCCGGTTGCCACTGTTCGAGGAACGGGCCAGACGATCTATTGGTCGATGTTTATTCCCTCTTCCCGCCAGAAATCCAATCCTTTTATAATCCTTCACCGTAGCCTCCCACAGTGCCAAGTTTACAAGACTCATCGCCGCCCGAGTTCCATTCTTGGAGTTGGTGCTCCATAAGAACAGCACCTGAGGACAAATCATATGGTGAGAAATGATAATGCCCCTCTTGAAGACGAGAGAACGAAGCGACGTCGTCAATAATATGGGTACCTGAGGAGTTCCGTAGACTTGACGCCACTCCTAGTGCCTGTAGCTATCCTCCGGCCGGCCTTGCCGACTGTCGTGCCATCAGTGGCGGGGTTGTTCGAGCTCCCACGCACTATCTCCAGTGTCCACATCACGTTCATCGTTACTCATCATGCACGATCTTTGAGTCGCAAACATTAGATATAATAGCCTCCAGTCTACCCTTGTCTTTCTGTTTGGACTCAAAATCTTGATTCTGCAGATCTGCTATCCCGTTCAGCTTCCAGAAGCGGTCACAAGCTATCGACGTTAAGATGCAACCACCAATCCGGATTGCCATTCTCGAATGTGACACACCTCTGGAAAAGACAAAAGCAAAGTACGGTGGATATGGAGGAGTGTTTAAAACCCTTATGGTCGGTGGTGCCAAATTGCGAGGACTTGATCCCGAAAGAGACTTGGAGATGACATCTTGGCCTGTCGAGAAAGAGCTGCAGTATCCCGAACTGGAAGACATTGATGCGATCATGCTAACTGGATCCCGTAAGCTCCATTGGCCCCGAAAGGATGTCATACAGAAGCTGTGGAGGGCTGATGGTTATTTGCAGGATACAATGCTTTCGACAACACTCCATGGATAACTTCGATAGTCTCATATCTTCGTCGAGTCCTCGAACAAGACAGAGTCCGTATAATCGGAGTATGTTTCGGGCATCAATTGGTTGCCCGAGCACTTGGGACTCCGATTGGCAGAAGTGACATTGGATGGGAGGTCTCCGTGTGTCCAGTCGAACTCTCGCCCGAAGGACAGCGTATTTTTGGCTTGTCAAACCTAAAAATCTTCCAGATGCATCGAGACGTGGTCCAAGAGGTTCCCAAAGGGATGACTTTGTTGGGTAGCAGCGCCAGGTGCGATGTTCAAGGATTTTATCAAAAGAACCGAGTGATTACGGTGCAGGGGCATCCGGAATTCAGCAAAGAGATTGTATCAGAGCTTCTGTACGCGAGGCATGAATCCGGGATCTTTGACGACGACGAATATCAAGACGCAATGCAAAGAGTCGGAGATCAGCATGATGGAGTCAAGATAGCTGCTGCATTTGTTTCATTCCTGCTCGAGGAATAGAGCTTTCAGTGGATAGAACCAATTCTTATTTCTCAGTAGTAGAGTCTAGTGCAGCTAAGTACCGTACATTATATTCAGGCAACTGACAGGCATTTTACAGACAGTTGATATTGCGGGGCCTGACATATCCTGCTTACCCGATGATAGAAGGGAACATATTTTGTCGCATATTCCTGTTATATGATGATGACCTTTGTCCCTCTTCCGCTAGACTCTGGGTTTAGCACCTCTTCATACCAATTGTGCCACAATGATTGAGCTGACATTGTTCAGCAATACGTTCATAGATAGCGTTCGGAGGACTGGAGCCATCGACAGTTTAACGCTGCTATAGTACAGTTTCTCGCATGCAAAATGTCAGACCCTGGGAGTTTCCAGTCTCGACACCGACAAGATTCTGCCTGACCCAAATTTACACCAAATTAACCCTTCCCATTGTTGAGAGACGCTCACTGTCGTATATAGTTTGACCTTTCACATTGTCTCCCTCGCGTTCTATAGGGCCCTATTTGGAGGACTCACAGTACACTGATGGTCGAAGAATGGCAGTGGCGAACTTCATGGGTTGGAGGTGTTCAATATCCTCCCAAGAAGCAATGCCTCAACATTGTCGCCTTTCTTTAACACCCCACTCCCAGCTGGCAAGCAAAGAAACGCGTTGGCACCTTTGAAACTCCCGATCTTGGAACTTCTCTGACCGCCGGTACTCACAGCGCGAAGAAGGCCATCACTTTCAGCAAAGACGATGCCACGACAGTACTCCGGCCTGGTGGGGTCCATCTTAACTTCTTCATCCAGCCGGACATTGACTCTTGGAAGACCAAGAGGATGGATGCCACTTGCGTGATGTAGAGAGGGTAGAACAAAGAGGTTAAATGCGACCACCGCACTAGCAGGGTTACCAGGGAGTGAGAATATGACTTTTCTGACTCGTTCCCCGTCGTCCCCCTTGACCGTGACGGTCGCAAAAGTCGTTGGTTTGCCAGGTTTCATGTTCACGCGACCAAAATGAATGGTTCCGCCCAAGGAGCGTTCAATGGTAGGTTTTAGAAGATCGAGTTCGCCCATGGACACTCCCCCAGTTGTGATCAAGACATCACATTGGCGAAGAGCCAGCCGTAGATTTTCTTCTAGGGCATGGATCCTGGATATTGAGTTAGTTGAGGCTTAAACATGAATGAATAGGAGGCGTACTTGTCGGACACAATGCCCAAGTCCACCGCCTCGAATCCGTTGGCCTTGACAGATGTTAGAAGTATCGGGCGATTCGTATCTCGAACCTCGCCTAGCTCCAGCTGTCTCGCTTCGTCAAAGTCAATGATTTCGTCTCCTGTGCTCATCACACCAACGATGGGCTTTCTGTAAACCTCGACCTCCTTCGCTCCAACCGAAACAAGTAGTCCAAACTCCCCACCGACCATACTGATTTGTTCTCCAGATTTCAGGATAGTAGATCCCTGGCTCACGTCGCTACCAACTTCTCGAACATTCTCTCCTTTCTTGATTTCATCTGTCAATATTTCCACGTCTTTCTCTTCTTTGCCATCGTCTGTAACAGCGGCTACGGCCGTGTCTTCTACCATCACGACTGCGTCTGCACCGGATGGAAGAGGGGCCCCTGTCGTGATCCTTGCTATTTCACCTTCGTTCAGGACCCGACCCTGCCCCTTTGCAGCATGAGAGACGAGCGCAACCGGGTACGTTCCTGTGGAGAACTTGGGTTGACCTTTGGGAAAACGCACGGCATAGCCGTCAACAATACTTGCTCGAAATGCAGGAACGGGCTCATTCGATTGAATGTCTGATGCAAGGACGTGACCGAGGATTGATGGGTCGACTGCGCGTATTGTCTTCACTGGAGGCGGAGTGTGTTCCGCTACTAAGGCGAGGGCATCTGGAACTGATAGCATCGGGTATGGCGATGATCGAGCTCGCCTTGTCGGACCTGCTGAAGGGTCATTTGACGTAGGTCGATCTTTTGGGTTTGTATGTGCTCTGGGGCCATGGTGGCCATGATGGTGGTGACCATGATGATGGCAGTGAGATGGTTCTAGCAAATATAAGTGGTCATGACTGGCGTGACGGAATTGAAATGGTATACGTTCGGATGAGCCCTTGGTCTCGGGCAACCTGACGCCTGCATCTTTCTCTAATTTCTCAATTCCTCCCGCATGAAGCGATCTTGAATCTTCCCCTTGTGCCTGGATGCACGCATGAGGCAGGAGTTTGAGGACCGCTTCGAGGTTTTCTTTGGCCCCTTTTGGCGATCCTGGAACAGACAGGATGATGGTTTTGTTTCGGACTCCTGCCACGGGCCTTGACATCATTGCAACTTTCATCTGTTAGTGACCTGATTTCTCTAGGGTATGACCTGATCTTACACGGCGTAATAGCTAAGGAGGACGATAGCATTCCATGGCTGAAGAAACGAGTCATTATCTGTGGTCCAAACCAGGACTCCTATCCAAACTCACACTAATCCTGGAGCATGCTTATGAATAAGAAAGCTCAACGCCTGCGGTATGTCAATTATCATGCAATTCGAGGTCTAGTAACACGAACCTCAGGAGTTTGATCTTTCAAAGCAAATCCAGTCCCGCCGCTTGTCACCACCAAATTCATTACAACTTCTCCATCGGTCCAAAGCCTTACGGCTCGTTGTATCTCAAGGACATTGTCCGGTACGATCAAAGTTTCGGCAATATCCCATTGTGATGAAACACTACGGAAGAGCTCCTTCAAAAGTGGAATAGTTCGGTCGGTTGATGGGTCCTTCGTAGCTGTGTCGGACACGATTAATATCCCCGCTCGCAATTTATTGCGGTCAGCCATTTCCTCCGTAGAAAATGATCAATAGTGGCAATTGTAGAATTGTGAAGCTTGATGTTTCTTTCGTTCTGGGAATAACTAGAGGAGTGCGGTACCATATGGAAGTAGAGTTATGGCCCGGAAGCTCTGGCCATCGTGCTTAAAGCTTCAAGCTTACGACACGACGCCACGAGCCCACGAAGATGCAAGTCCGTAACACACAACAATACTGGAGAAATGAATATAAAGTTTACATTAAGTGTACATGCCATATCCGCTACCGCTTTCATGTCCAGATCCACCGTGACTGCTAAGTCCGAAGAACGCCGTGCAAGCACAATGCCTCAATGTCATCCCTAAACGCAATCTACATGATCCGAGGATGTCTGTCACGACCATGAGTCTCGATATTCGAGTATTCCCTGGCGTCCTAAGCTTCATAACATCCGCTTGAATATTCTTGAGCTCTCTGGCCAATGTAACCGATGATATGCCCACAGTTGGCATACTTCATTTGAAGTCAGCAGCCTTTCCTGACACCAGCAGCCCAATGATCAACCCGAAGAGTCCGAGGACCGAGCTGAAGATTTCGATGACGAGGATTTTGACAAAACTGCAGTACCATTAGCATATATCTTGCCATATTTCAAGTGGTACTAACAGTGTTGGATCCGCAGCATCTGCAAGAGCCGCACTACTTCCGTTGATGCCGACAGACACGCCGCAAACGAGATTACAGGCTCCAACTGTTATGCCACTCCAGAATAGAGCGTATCCCGTATAGTAGTTCGATGCTGAATAGAGAGCATCGCCGGAGACAGGTGTGAGTTTCGCTGAGAAGACGATTGACATGATGACGCCGTAGATGGCCACGACTTCACAAAAGATGATGGATATCAGATTCTTTGTTCGTATTCGAGGTGCCTTGACACCGCCGCCGAGGATAGATGAGCCGGTAATGAAGATTCCCCTAAGGACAAGTTTTAGTTGGAGTTCATCAAAGGGTTGGACAATGTTCGTACCATGCGGCACCAACAACTGACAGGCCAATACAAAGCCCTATGCCCATATCCGCCCATGCATAAGGAGATACGCTCTCGAGAAATCGTCCGACCTAGATTCGTTATGAGGAAAGGCCTGCTAGTATCGAGGTGATCGTCTTACATTGAAATGCTCTCCCTCACCCTGGAATAGCATGTCTGAATGGGATGTTAGGCAACATTGAATCGGGATGGGGATGATCACTTACACAGGCCAATCACACCAAGTGTAACGCCGACACCACCGACACCCCATTTGAGTGACATTGTAAGGACGATGAATATCGATCCTTTACGAGGGAATTGCGAGCTTGGAGAAGCATAAACCGTGCTGTTGTCCGGATTGATCTTGGAGTCCGGCGGAGTTGGTGATGGCCATGGTGGAAGCTCATTCACGATCAACAGGGATGGGAGCTGGCACGTGATATTGTGATCAGACACATCGAGCACAGCCACAGAGACTTCCGCGCCACACATCCCACCTGACGCCACACCTGTCCCGACCGCCGACTTCACTTCAACTAGAGGAGGTGAGGAGTTAACCACCTTTCATCTAACACTCACTTCCACAACAAGTGCATCCCCTCGCGCTCGAAGCAGGATATCGTTGATATCACCTCCATCATTTGACCCTGCGGGTCCGCTTACTCGCCCGTGTTATCCCTCAGTACCCTCGTCCAAGATGGCGGCTCAACCAAAGAATGAGAACTTCTATGAGCTATATCGTGTTTCGAGGTTTGTAATCAACTATCACCAAATGAAACACCCTCTTACAGGATATCTGGTAGCATCGGCACGACCCTCGCAGATACCATTGACGACATGATCACTCTGAACAAGCTCGAACCTCAGATTGCCATGCGACTTCTTGCGACTTTTGATCGAGTCATCGCCGACGTGCTGTCCTCCCAGGTCAAGTCGCGAATGAGTTTCAAGGTGTGTACCATACTCAATGCCACCTGGAATCGATTCTGACCCGTATAGGGCAATCTCGACACCTACCGATTCTGCGACGAAGTCTGGACCTTCGTTCTCAAAGATGTCAAGTTCAAGATGGACAATCAATCCCCGCTTGAGGCTAGCCGGATCAAGATTGTTTCCATGAACAGTAAGCCTGGTGGAACATGATATGGAATCTTGTGCCATCTAGTACGATGCCTGGAGCATTGGACAACCCATCACTTGTCACGGCCCTGTTATCTTATTAAACCCGGTGCCATCCTTCCCTTCTCACCTTGATCGATATGGATCATTGCCCGACCGATTTATGACCATCACTGGAGTTGCATGATGTGGAGTTAGGATGATATCTTTCTCACAGCACTTATGTGTATAGGCAAGCTACACAGGGATCGATATGGCGAGGACGATCAGGGCATCCAAGAGGTTGTTGCTGAAGCCGAAAGCCAACGAAGGCGGAAAAAGCGGAAAACAAATCATCACCTGAGCAATGGGATTTCTGCATCTACATCTACACGTACACCCGCGATGATCGATACACATGCTGCCAACAATATCCCGGTCAAGCCTGACCTCACATCCCCTTCCAATCAACAATCCTGGCATTCTCCATGGGCAGCATGGGCGCAGCGGCTGTAAAGGAGTTTGAATTATACACCGTCGATGTGGGTGGCGGCTTCGATTTCAGCAGTCTGACCATACCCACCTAGTCTGCTTGAGACTTTCAGAGACGGCAGATATGTCATGAATGTGGATTCTCGGGACACAGGCCGAAGGGAAAGGGCATATGGATGGAGCAATCAAACAGAATACGTCATCAAATTGAATCCAATCATTCCGTTCAATCAAATAGTCTGACCAAGTTCATCTTTCTCATTATTGACATCGCTTGGCTGCTCTGCTCGCCATGGCCAGTAAACAATCCGAATCTAAAACAAATCCATTGGGGTATCATTTTTGCTGTCTATTCAACAACGTTTCCCCCATGCCAAATTGGTGACGCCACGCTTCCAAAGCACAATGCAGATATTTCAGTCCGAGGTTAACAATGCTTGGTGCTACCGCTATACCTTGCTCATGCTGATAGCCTCCAGGTATTGCTCTCGAGTCATGGAAGCATGGAGTGCTTCGCTTTTGCTTGAAGATTCGATGACTGTGGATTCCTGATACGCATTCGCAGTCTCCTCGCTCTCCTCATCATGGAGGATGAGATCTTGCCAATCTTCCTCTTGTGCACGCTGGAGAAGCGCCTTGGAATTGGCGGAGTTGAACGGGTCATTATCCTCGTCGGTAGATTTCATAACTTGTTGCACGGCACGCGGTTGCTGTTGCTGACGAGGCTCATCGGCTTCGCGTTCTCGGCGACGATGGAGGTTTTCCATTCTTTGCTTTGCGTCAAGGTGGTGGAATTGTGGTCTCATCTGGATGATGCCGGACACGGGCGTAAGATGCAGTTCCCCTGTAAGAATTAGCCCGAGATCGACCGTGGGAAACATCGGGGTTTCTTACGTCCTTGAACATTCCCAAGCATGTAGTGAGGCATTCCTAGATCCTGCTTCAAGATCTGACCCCCAACCACCATCTTGTTCATCACCTCACCACGGGCCTCCGATGTAGCAAAACGCTCCAACCGGTCCATGATCAATGTTTCACGGTCTTCACCATCGGCTTCTTTGTGGACCACGGCCCCTGTGCCTTTACTTCCGAGGCCGGAGGATGGTCCGAATGATGCGAAACCCTCCTCTTTCGACTCGTGAACTGCATGACCCCATCTCACACCTTTCTCGCGATCGAAGTTGGAGTGGGTACCCACGGAGAGGTCAATTTCTATGAATCCAGACTTCGGCTTGACTCTTATGGCTAGAGGTTGCTGGTTCGTGACATCGTAAGGTTTTTCTTTGGGTCGATTCGGATATTGTAGCATGTAGATGTTACTCGATGTCGAGACGGTTGGTTTGATGAAGATGTCATATTCTGCAACGACTGGATCCTCATCTTCGATATTCGACCCCTCGATTGGGTCCTCTGGTACTGCCATTGCTGTTATCGAAACAATCCAAAGATGCAAATATATTGGTGTTGTGTAAGTGTGGTGAAGGTCAATGTAAAATGGAAATTCTTCGAGCCCCGCTGAAAGATCCATGCCCTCCTCCATGTTTGATAATATCGCGAGGGTCCAGAGCTACGACTAACTTCATTCGCCTGCGTCATCCAAAAGCTGCGACTAATTCCCATCGCACGAACCTATTGCATATCTCCCTTCAGACTCTTCGACGGAAATTTGATTTGAGGCAACCCCATCGTCAAATTGGACAGCTGGTCGCTCATGGAATAGGGCCGCAGCCTGACTTCCGACCGCTCCGGACCTCTCCCCACAAGGGATCTTCCTCACCATGGCATATATTGCTCCAATACACAGGCCGAGCAGCGTGAGACATGCTCTGAAGTTGAACTTTATTGATCCAGAAGAGGAAGTTCTGGTTGTCGCGTATGGAGCCTATGTCCGCATGCTTATAATAGTTCCTGACGGGAGGTAGCAAGTCGAACCGACTCGAGTTTCATTCCATCTCCGAAGATGGCCTCTCCCTACGGCATTCGAGTTCTCTATACGGCCGTGTACGAATGCTACAGAAGATTCGACCGCCGACATCCACCACCGATCACCTTTTCGTAGGCACCGATAGGTACATGTACTTTGTGCTGTCATGGAATGCAGAGACACAGCAGCTTCAAACCGAAAAGAGCTTTGAGGATCTAGCAGAGAAGGGAGCTCGTGATAGTCAGTTTGGCGATCGATGTCATATCAACCCGAGCGGAGAATTTATGACATTGGAGCTGTACGAAGGCATGATCACCGTCTTGCCCATCGTACCACCGAAGAAGGGCATTGCCGAATCCGAAATCGGGACGCTCGGTGAAGCAATACAATGCAGAATACCGGAAATGAGCGTTTGTTCGTCAACATTTCTATATACTGCACGACAGGGTCCGAAAAATCCACCGAAACTCGCCATGCTCTACGAAGACCTGCAAGAGGACCGTAAGGTCGTGGTCAAGAACCTATGGTATACACCCGCCTTGGGTAGAGACGACGTGGGGTCGGTCGAATGCAACTTTGGAGATAATGAGGCGCAACCGGCTCATTATTACGATCGAGTGGAGAGTAGACCCCGGGTGGAACCACAATCCAGTCACCTTCTACCGGTTTCCCTTCCCCCCTATGGGATGCTGGTGCTCGGGCAGGCTTCCATCACCTGGATCAACGATACGAACATGCACTCCGAAACCGAACCTTTAGTGGAACCGACCATATGGCTCAGCTGGGAGCAAATCGATTCACAACGCTATATTTTGGCAGACGAGTATGGGCGAATGTACATGCTCATGCTCCTGGTACAATCCGACTCGATTTCCTGGAAGTTGGAGAAGATTGGTCAAACCAGCCGAGCATCCACTTTGGTGTATCTCGACTCTGGTTTATTGTTCATCGGATCGCACGAAGGCGACTCTCAAGTGATCCAGATTCTAGAAGGATCCATCCAGGTGGTCCAAACCTTTGCCAATATCGCCCCGGTTCTCGATTTCCAGATTATGGATCTAGGGAACCGTGCCGAAGGTCAGATGAACGAATTCTCCTCTGGTCAAGCACGTCTTGTGGCTGGAAGTGGTGCATGGAATGGTGGGAAGCTCTGCAGTGTTCGAAGTGGAGTCGGGATGGAAGATCTTGCCGTCCTCCCGGATGTTGATCAGCCCACCGCCGTCTTTGCACTCAAATCTAAGCTTGGAGAGTATGTGGATACCCTCCTAATCACTTACTTGACGGAGAGCCGCGTGTTCTTTTTCGAGGATGATGGGGAAGTCAGTGAAGGAGACGATTTCAAGGGCCTTGAGCTTTCTACCGCCACCCTCCTTGCTCGAAATGTCGGTGACCGGATTATACAAGTCACGAACGACTCCATCCGGATCAACGATATTGATAGTGGTATGGTCACCTCGACATGGGCTCCTCCGGAGAATAAAAAGATCATTGCTACCTCGGCCAACGATACTCACATTGCCGTCTCGGTATCGGGAACCACTCTCTATATTTTTTCCATCGACACGCTCTCCATCCAGAGTCAGAAAGAATTCCCTCCCGAGTCACAGATTGCGTGCCTATCTCTCTCTCCTCTCCTTCCTGACATTATTTGTCTTGGGTTCTGGGGAACTGGGTGCCTATCAATCCTTCGGACGAGAGATCTATCCCCTGTGAAAGTCATCCCTCTAGAAGATCGAGTCGTGGATACTTCTCCGATTCCACGATCCGTGCTCATTGCGAAACTTGGACCGTCTCATGACCCGACGCTCTTTGTGTCCTTGAGCTCCGGTTTGGTCATTTCGTATTCCATTTCCATCGTATGCGATTTCACAAATCGAAAGTCCGTCATACTCGGTACTCAAGCAGCGTCTTTTACTTCAATCCAAAGACGATTACGAGGGGAGTCGTCAGTTGAAAGCGTGTTCGCATTGGCAGATCAGCCTTCCCTTATCTATGCAGAGTTGGATGAAAGTTCGAGGCAGTCCGAACCCCGACTTATATTCAGTGCAGTCACAGCATCCACTGCGAGCGCGATCACTCCGTTTAATTGCGCGGCATATCCTTCCGCTGTTGCCATCGCGACCGATGGAGAAGTTCGGATTTCTCTTGTTGAATCATCACGATCAACCCATGTGCAATCACTTCGAATTTCCGAAACCGTTCGTCGGGTCGGTTATTGTTCGGATCGAAGGCTATTCGCCATTGGCATCATTGGTCGACAGATCGTGGAGAATGTCGAAGAGATGAGCAGTCGAATCGCTCTTGTCGATGATTCCCTATTCAATGAGCTCGACTCGTTCAAACTTAAGGGCGAGGAACTGGTCGAATCCGTGACATGGGCGACCCTTCCGGACGGAGGATCTGGAGAACAAGAGTTCTGCTTCGTCGGGACTAGCTTCCTTGAGAATGATCCCAACAATGAAGATTCTCGTGGAAGAATCATTGTCTTGGAATGTACACAGGATCGAGTCTTCAAAAAGGTCGCCGAAGTAGCACTGCGAGCACCATGCCGATGTCTAGTCGCCTGGCATAACGGGGTAGCAGCTGGTCTACTCAAGGCGGTGACTCTCTTCAATCTTCAATATAGCAGCGAAGGTCGACCGAAGCTTGTGAAACAGGCAAGTTACCGTACTGCAACTGCTCCTATAGATATGGCCGTCCATAATCGATCCGGAAAATTGGTTGTTGCCGATTTGATGAAATCCATTGCTGTCCTCCAGTTCATTCCAGGAAGGGTTGGCATGCCGGATCGACTCGAAGAAATCGCGAGACATGATCAGACTTTGTGGAGTACTGCCGTTGCTGCTGTGGGAGAGAATCATTGGCTAGAGGCTGATGCAGAAGGAAATCTGTTCCTCTTGGAACGGGATCCAGCCACTGAATTGGAGCTGGAGATGAAGAAGATCCGTATCAGCGCAGAGATTCGACTGGGTGAGATGGTGAATAAGATCCGATCGATTGATATTGGTGAAAGGGGGGGCGTGGTGGTGCCAAAAGCTTTTGCAGCGACGGTAAGTTTATTGGAGATGTAGAAATGATGGCACTAATCCTTGACAGGCGGACGGTTCCATCTACCTCCTCGCCCTGATTCAGCCCAGTATGCAAAACCTTTTGATGCAGCTTCAGGACAATCTTGCAGAGCTGGTGAAGAGTCCAGGATATGTTCCTTTCATGCGATATCGAGCAGTGAAGACTCAAGTGAGAGAGGAGGAGAGGCCCATGAGGTTTGTTGATGGCGATATGATTGAGCGGTTCATGGATTGCTCTAAAGAGATCCAACAGAAGGCAATTCAAGGCCTTTCTGTTGATGTCGAGACAGTGCAGGCCATTATAGAGACATTGAGGAGGCTGCACTAGTCGGTCGACTTGTCAGTCTTCATCTAGACCTACACGATAAGAAGAATATTTTCCAGATCAGATGTCTGTTTTCATGATCCCTTCATACGTGAATGGCTCTTCTCATCTTCTGAGTCTTAATCCATTTGGCATTCTTTTCTTGACACCCTATGACCCGGAAGTCCTCCGACATGCTCTACCTTTACCATTGGACTCTGGCCGTTGGGATCTGGCCAAGATTTGAAGTTTGGTTATCGCATCATGTTACAGGATGAATCAAAAGTCTCGACCCAAGTATACATCTTGTGGCGAGCCCCAGCATTCGTTTGCAGGAAATGAGTAACTGACCACCTCACTGAACACATGGTCCGTCCTGATGATACCGGAGTAGTACGTAGTCGACTTAGTGAATTGCGTTCTCTGTATATGAACGATACCACTGGAGGTTTAAATATTTAAGAACCATAAATACCGTTGACGAAAACTAGAAAACCCTGAGTTCGTGAATTATTCTTGATCCAATATGGTACTTTGTTGTTCGGGTAACATAGAAATTTGAATCCCTGTGAACTCACGATCATTGACCAAGCACATCCCAGTTCCTTGCTCGCTTGGTCATAATGACTCGCATTGATTTCCCAACCTCTATCAGGTGATAACTTTTTTAAACTCGCTTCCTTTGCACAGAAATCGTTGATGAGTCTGCCGAAATATACGACCAATTTCCCAAGAGCGCTGTGCTTTAATAAACCACTTCTAAGGCGTCCCTATCTCGTTCTCAGAGCCCCGCCATTCCGTTCGACACGCCGCATCTCAACTTCGAAACCTCCGATGGCGGCTGCAGCTGTTTCTGCTGTTGAGCAGGCGAAGCGGTTGGCTGCCGTTCAAGCCGTTTCTGAACACTTCTCTACCAATTTCAAATATGTTGGAATAGGCTCCGGAAGTACGGTCAAATACGTCGTCGAAGCAATCGCTGCATCACTTGCTAAAGCCTTCCCGGCCGCGTCGACACGGCCTTCCGATACACGGAGCACAAGCGCTACGAGCGCATACGATATTCAATTCGTTCCCACTGGATATCAGAGCAGACAAAGCATCCTCGATTGCGGATTGACCCCTCTCCTCTTCGATCATCTACCGAACGACGTCATCCTAGACGTTGCCTTTGACGGTGCTGATGAGGTGGATGATGACTTGAATTGCATAAAGGGTGGAGGGGCATGCTTGTTTCAGGAGAAGTTGGTGATAGAGAAAGCAAAGAAGTTCGTCTGTGTCGCAGGTATGAACCCATGGTGGAATTTCCGCCAATTGCTAATTGTGGTCTAGATTATCGCAAGGCTCAGAGCAGGCTCTTGACCGTCTGGCCTTCAATCCCAATCGAGGTCGCTCCAATTGCTTCCCACATTGTCTTGATGGCGTTGGAAAACCTGGGTTCAGTAAAGCCTGCTGTTCGAGCCGGAGTCCCGGCGAAGTCAGGACCACTCAGGACCGATCAGGCTTTCTATATCATCGACGCTCCTTTCCCCACCCTGCTACTTCGGTCCGATATCCAGGGACCAGATGATGGGAATGGGAAGAATGGACGATGGGAGGTTTCAAGATTGTCAGAAGCGATCAAGAACATCACGGGTGTCCTAGAGGTCGGCATTTTCAGCGGATATGACGGTTACGAGACGGAGAAACTTGGCCTAGGGAAAGGCGGTCAGAAACCTGTTGCGGTATATTTTGGCATGCAAGATGGGACCGTCACCATCCGAATGTCAAAGAACAGGTAGGCATCACCATGATTAATGAAACTATGAATAGACGTTAGCGGGAATTGGACCTTAATTCGCATAGTCCTCAATAGACAAGAATTGTTCATCATCATCCAGTGTCAACTCCAAAGCCACGGACTCCCTCTTCCTTGAAAGAAGTGGCAGGTTCCCAGAAACACAAATTCCCAATAGACCCATGCTCGACAGAGTTCACCTATTTGTAACGAATCTTCTGGTGATGATTCTCCATTATACACAGCTTAGTCCCCCCGACACCCGATCCAGACCTTCGTTCGTACTGATATTTCCCTTTCGCAGTGTCTGGATCATTTCATTCTTTAGCGTAAATGTTTGCTGTCCGAGGCAATCCATCTCCACTTCCAAAACGATGCTCTTCAGTGCCTCACGTCTATCGGGAAGTTTCAAAGCAACTTGGGGTTTTCTGGCAAAATTCTTTGGGTTAGTTCGTGTAGCCTAGACCTCTGGTAGTTATCCGTCCACAATAGAATTGATCTTGATGATACAACCAACTCATCGCATTGATACAATAGTCGAAAAATCAACAGTCCAGTCATATTGTCCAATTACCCCAGCAATCGGATCAAGAGTGCATGAGTACGGACGGAAGCGAAGGCAAGGACTGGAATGAAGCAGAGAGAGACGAGTATCCCGCGTATTATCAGTGTCAAAGGACTCCATGTTCAACTTCTGTCTAAATGCCTTCCTGACTTCTTGCCTCTTTGATGCGGAGCAAGTCGGATATTACGAACTGCTGCCATTGTCGCTACATGGGCCTCCGGTGCGGCTCCAAATGTCCACCAGCCAATGCCTTCAGTCATAATGCCAATGGAGTCTCCTATAGAGAACAATATGCTATTAACTATCAAGCACTGTTTCGACGTACTCTTCTAAGGGCCATCGAAATGAGCTTCTATCTCATTCTTCCTAAACCGGAGACACATAATAGACCCGTACTTCCATCCTAATATCTCAAATTTTTTGGCATCCATAGGAATAACTAACTCACAATCGCAATTGAAGAGTACAAAACTTGAAGAAAGAGTTCGCGGGTTGAGAATGAAGCAAACAAATAGATTCGTATGCGGTCGTATGTCAATGCTCTGATTCGATTGTGACGTCACTGAATAGAAAAACGTGCGGAAGACGGATTCGATATAGTAATGAACTGAATAATATAACTATCGAACAAGGACACTAGTCATTTGAGACCAATAGGTTCATAGAGTCACAACAATCGTCCACTTCCATCCGACGGGGACACTACCCTGCCGCCTGAGTAGTCCTGGAAACCGGGTGTTAGGGCTGAATATCAAATTGCCACAAAGGTGTGGGCCATCATCAAGAAAACCTCAGCCCCAGAATCCTATCCTGATTGCCCTGGGCCTCCAAATTTATCCAAGGTGTCACGCCCAGGTCCGCCATGGTCTATCATGCCCACTTCCCAAGTAAGCTCATGATTCCCATACCAAACACTAGCGCAAGCAATGCCGCCAGTGTCGTCGGCAGACCAGCCCGCTCTAGCCGCCCGCCATGTATCCAGCCCCTAGCCCACATCTCCACGAAGGCTACCCAAGCTAAAATTCCTGCGGATAATACGTCTAAAGTACCGATGGCTATGACAGCGGATTTGTCATTACCATTGAAGAGACTTAGGACGCCAATGCCAATGCCCTGATGAACAGTCAAATCAGTCAAATCAGTCAACCCAGGAATTAAGACTTGGCTAGGTGAGGGGTAAACCGGGATGGGGATGGATACCATGCCAATTGGAGTGATGACAGCAAATATTCCAGCTAAGATTAACTTCTTCATAAAAGATAATTTAGTGTTTGGGATACCAGAGAAGACTGTGCCGAGAGCCACCCCTTCAAACATTTGATGGAAGGCGATTACGGCAAACAAGGTACGAAAGAATGAATCATCGGCCACGACACACGTAAGTCCAATGACTATGCTACTTAGCTCCACTTCTCACAATCTCTAGATATGGGTAGAACGTACGCAAAGAATGGAATACGATTCCTGCCTCTAGGACTCCAGCGCTGACAGCGTCTGAAGGTGGCTGATGAACTCAAATTTGAGGTACCATTCGCGGAATCGCCATCGCTTCCTTGATGTGGACTCGAATTTGAGCTGCCATGTGCGGAGTCACCATCGTTTCCTTATTCTGCGATGCTGACTTCGCCACCGAAGGGGTCGAGGCAATATGTATCTGCGCCGTGTGCATGACATCCGGTGTATGACGCTGGAAGGGCTGAGTGCCAGTCGCGGTTACCTAGACCTGGAACTCTGTGATACCAGCCATACAAAATCTACGAGTCAATTAGTAGTTTGTATCCTGTCACTGGAAATGATACCACGAACTGTGTAGCACCATGCATATGGCATTCTGAAATTGCAGTAACGACCTGTGCCGAAGATGTAGCCTCTGTTGCTGTGGTCAAGGTCTGCCCGAAAGCAGTCCCAACTAGGAACAGCCCAGGAGCACTTCTTCCAAGTAACATTGCAACTATTAAACAAGCGACTAGCAGTCGTAGGCGAACAATTTGTGAGAGAACAATAATTTCTTAGTGGGGAGCACTAGAAGAAAGACGTGGACACTGAATGATAGAAACTTAAAGGAAAGTATTCAACAGTTGAACTCTTAAAGCAGTAAAATTCCACGGCAGCAACGGTTCCGTAAACTCTTCCAGTTCTTATATAGCGAAAAGATTAGGATAGCGTTGTCACGGAATCATGACCCTGTCCTACTGGTGAATATTCTCCTCTACTGGAGCAGCTGTTATCAAGCTGATTCGTATTTCTAGCGGACGTATTGCTCGGCTCCCGGGCCGGCCATTGGCGTGGAGCCAACGCAACCCAAGAATCTGTCATCTGCCCTCTCTCCTGCCTCAATAGACTCCCTCTCGAAACAGTGTGCGGGAGAGGCTATACCGTAGCTGCATCTCCACTAAATACTTACTTTGCTGTCGACCTTCTACACCGGCTCTTCCACGCCCCCCAGATCAACGAGGATACCATCAGTCGTTACTCGGAAAACTATACTGATGCACGGGTTCTAGCTCGAAGTGGCCCTACCAAGTCAGCGAGGGACAGCGAGGCCTTACAGCTGTTTGCCATTGACATTTATGCGTATGATGTTGCGGTACCGGGCGCCGGGTGTTCTGGGGATAATGTTGCAAAGCGTATTGCCAGCTCTATGTTAGAAGCTCTCAGTAGTACCGCTCCATCCACAGCCGTTGGCAATATACCAGTGGAATCAGTGCCTCTGGGGACGAACCGTCCGCCAGGGTCGCAACATGAAGGGACGCCTACCAATGCTGCGGTAAGATATGCCCTCTGAATTGCACCAGGACTATGGCTAAATAATGTTAGGCGGCCTGTCACACCCATGCTGACGGAGTTGTTCATTGCGGATCCGATTGATGACAATTCGCCAGAGGCGAGAGCTGCAGTTGTAGTCATAGATAGAGCTCCGAAATGAATAAATGAATACGAATATGGCCCTTATTCATATTCGCTCTTCACGAATATGAATAATATGAATATTATTCATATGAATATGCCCAATATTCATATTCATATTCGTATTCATATTTATTCATATATCTCTCCGGGAATTTGTTGTTCCGGGCCGACCCGTTTCCTCTTCCTATAGTTATATGCTATCGTCTTGCTTGTCAATAGACAGATTTCAGTCCAGTTCCTATGCCAGAGCATAGGCAGGTGTTTTTTGCGCTGCTTTGAGCCGTGCTGCGAATAGCCATGACTTTGGATCCCATATATCCCGTATGTCTAGGTACGGGGCCCTATTCAATTGCAGGTAGAGAGCGATTGAAAGATTGCCTCTCATTCCCAATATCATTTTTATTCAAATTTCTGCGCAAACAACCTCTCAAACGTCAACGCTGTCTAAATCCTCCAAAACCTATTGAATAACTATCAAATTTGCACTGGGAATAAGTTACATGAGTTGACACGTTAATGACGCGTCAAATCATGTACTCGACTATTGGTGATAGAGAATGGCGGTTTGTTTACTTGAAGCCGCGAATCCTGGATT